GCTGGCCTTTAGTTCTGAAGTCGAAATGCTGCCGCAGCGCAAGCTATGAAGTGGTTGCACTGCCCCCTGCTGGTAGCCCCCTGCTTCTACAACTGAGAAGTTAGTGCTGCATTGTGACCTTTAACACACGTTTAAAGATCCATCAATACCTTCATGAACAAATATGAGTAAAGTAAAACGATCTTTCCACAACACAAATAAGCAGATTCATATGTATGTCACATAAACGAAGATAAATGTATACTCAAAGTTGCTTCTGTCATGGCAATGTAGAAACAGTCCTTTCCAGCCTGATTTTCACAGCCAATACCTTCCCAAGAAGACATATGGACTTAAAATATTGTAATAAAAAGAGATAGAAAATGCTTTTTTCCAGCTGGGCACATTTAAACTGAGATAAAAGCAGGGTAAAAGAGATTAAAAACAGTGTACCCTGGTCGGGATTCGAACCCGGTGGTGGAGTACCCCTCTACCACCGGGATTGACTCCCGTTCAGGGTACCGACTGTAACCTCCTCTCAATCTCCCTGACCCCTTAGCCCACTGCACCAAACACCAGAGCTATATATTATATATATTTCTATTTATTTCTTTAGGCGAGTGTGTTTTTGTCAATCACTTTGGCTGTGCTAATGTAGAATGTGATTTTTATGGAGGCTGTGTGGTTTTTTTAATTTGATTGTTTTTTCAGATTTACTAAAAAAAAGTTTCTCTTCCTTCATTTAAAAATAAGATCAGAGAGAAATTATTAACAAACTGTCAAAACCAGAAAATTTAAATGAAGAATTATTTTTTATCCTTTCAGGATTAAAGGGCATTCTGTAGATTTATTCCAGTTGAGGTCAGGGTTTTATTTTTCCTAAATGGACTTCCTACCAGGAGGTTAACTCTATTTAAAAGCAGATTTGCGGTTTTGACTTTCAGGAAAAAGCCGTTTATTTGCCACTCACATAGTAAAGGTTTAAATGCTAAAACGGCTTTAATAGCAGGTCCGTGGAGGACGAGAGGGACAGACGGGACAATGGTCTCAGCGTTGGGGTGTCTGTCAGAGAGAAACCGGAACATTTACGCCTAAAGTGATGGAAATAGTCAACATTTCTGTTTGAGTTTAAAGAAACTACTGAAAACCATCGACATGTATACTGCTGAAAAGCCAGCTCTTCAGTGAGCATCTTCTAAACTAGCACCCGTCCCCTCTCCTCATCGACATATAGCCTCTACTGTCCACTTCCCTCTGATTGATCATGCTGCCTCACCGCCAGAGGATTGGCTGATTAGTGTTTGTTGTTAGCCTCAAGGGCGACCTGCTGACTTGATTATCACCTCCATGCTTTCGTTCTTTTTAAACACAGAAACAATTTTGTTTACCTGTTTTGTAGCTACAGTTTCGCCGAAGGCTGCCAGCTTCTTCAGGCTGACGCTGATGGTGGCGCGTCACTTCCTTCTCCGTTTATCTGCGGGCAGCAGAGGACGTTGTCGCCCTCTACTGCCCGCTCTCCCCTCTCCGACGATGCAGTCCCATGCGTGGTCCAGCGTGTAAACTCCGCCGTCCCTGTTCATGGTGCCACATCCACGTCTCCTTATCTCGATTGCTTCCTTGATCCATCTTTTGTATTTTTGTTGTTCGGTGGTTATGATCCGTGTGTTGTCCCAGTCATTATATGGTTTTCTCTTAAGCAATGATCTGTTACGGCTGACTTTTTTATTGTGCTTTCTGCTTCTTCTTTTGCTGCTCTTGTGTGTTTACGATTTGCCTCTTTCTCGCACTCCTTTCTGTGTTCTATTGTCCGTGTATTGAGTTGGCGTCCGGTTTCTCCTATGTATGTTTTATTGCTGTACACCTGTAGCTACAAAACAGGTAAACAAAACTGTTTCTGTGTTTAAAAAGAATGAAAGCATGGATTTAGAAAGACACAGCAAGAACACACCTAAGATGTTCAAAGAGAAATACGGACAACAAGGAACGAAGGACTTCCGCCGTTTGGAGCGATTACACCAGAAACGCGCATGTCTAAGAAACCACCTTCGCTTCTGTTTAAGATGCCGGGACGAAAACATCACACCCACACGCCTACAGCTGAAAACATCGATCCGGACCAAGACAGCACAAAATATAATAGAAAGAGCACAGAGAGCACTGCTCAAGGAGAGGATAAGGAACGTCATAACCAAACAGAGGCGTGTGGAGGACGAACTGGAAAGAGGACACCTGGACTTGAAAAGGAATTACAAACTTGATAAACAAATGGAGGAACTAATTAAAGGACACATGATGGAAAAACAGGAAAAAGAGTTCATAAAAGTGAAAGAAAGACACATAAAGAAGTTAAACAGACTCAAACAAGAAAAAGAGGGGAGAAATACAAGGCAACTCCACACCAAACGCATGGGTATGTAACATTTCACAATACAAACTAACAGAAGCAGAAGAGAGCATATTAAAGAAAGGTTTAAACTTTGCAGTCACACCAAAAGAAATACCATATGATGAATTTATTGTAGCAACAGAACGAGCATGTCAACAGATCACAGATGAGGGAAAGAAAGCAGAACTCAGAAATAACGTAGTTGGGATATTAAAAAACAGCCAAATTCAACACAGCAATATTACAAAAGAAGAACAATCAGCCATGACAGCCTTATCCAAAAATGAACAGATAATTATTCTACCGGCAGATAAAGGAAGAACCACAGTAGTTATGGACAGAGAAAAATATAAACAACAGATGAAACAGATGCTAGAGGACAAAAATACATATGAAATACTTAAAAAAGATCCAACAGAAAACATTAAGAAAAACATGAAAAAATTACTGAAGCCACTGCACGAAAAAGGCAAAATAACAGAAGAAATGTATAAACACTGGATTCCCACGGCGAATATAACACCAAGAATATATGGAACGCCAAAAATACATAAACAAAACACCCCACTTAGACCAATAGTTGACAGCATAGGTACACCAACATACAACATGGCAAAAGATATCAGCAGAATCATCAGCCCGTTATTAGGAAATACAGACCAACACTGCAAAAATAGTATAGAATTGGCAAAAGAACTAAAGAAAATTACAATAGAAGACAATGACATACTCATCTCACATGACATCACATCTCTGTTCACAAAAACACCAACCCAAAAAACCATAGACATAGTAGTTAACAGAATCAGACAAGACAAAACTTTACACAAAAGGACAAACCTCACAGCAGATGACATAGCACAACTGATAAGACTAGTAGCTAACTCCACTTACTTCACGTACAATGACACAATATACAAACAACTGGAAGGCTTCGCCATGGGTAACCCGTTATCAGCCGCCCTGTGCAAGTTTTTCATGGAAGACCTGGAACAAAAAGCCATAGCCACCGCCCCCCAAACTGCAAAATAAAACTATGGAAACGCTACGTAGACGACATACTGGAAATCATACCAAAAGGTCAAACAGAAACACTAACACAACACTTAAACAATATTGACGACACGGGCAACATAAAATTCACTTATGAGTCAGAAACAGAAGGCAGCATAGCATTTATGGACATGAAAATAAGCAGACAGACCGACGGGACCCTAAACATAAACACATACAGGAAACCAACACACACAGACCAATATTTATTATGGACATCAGAACACCCCACCATACACAAAATGTCAGTAATCAGAACATTATATCACCGAGCAAACATAATAACAGAAGAGAGAGACCGTAAACAAGAAGACAAACACATACAACATGCTTTAAAGACCTGCAGATACCCGACATGGGCAATAAACAAAGGAAAACAACAAACAAAAACAGAAAGCAAAGAACAACCCAAAAAAGAACCAGAAACCCAGAAAGACAAGAACCAAAACCAGTGATAACCCTACCATACATCAGAGGCATAACGGAAAAAATAAGAGCAACAATGAAAAAACACAACATAAACACACCAACAAAACCATACACAACAGTTAGAAACAGACTAGTGCACCCAAAAGACAAAATATCAGCTGGACAAAAATGTGGAGTCATCTACGAAATCCCATGCAAACTATGCAATAAAACATACATAGGAGAAACCGGACGCCAACTCAATACACGGACAATAGAACACAGAAAGGAGTGCGAGAAAGAGGCAAATCGTAAACACACAAGAGCAGCAAAAGAAGAAGCAGAAAGTACAATAAAAAAGTCAGCCGTAACAGAACATTGCTTAAGAGAAAACCATATAATGGACTGGGACAACACACGGATCATAACCACCGAACAACTAAAATACAAAAGATGGATCAAGGAAGCAATCGAGATAAGGAGACGTGGATGTGGGACCATGAACAGGGACGACGGAGTTTACACGCTGGACCACGCATGGGACTGCATCGTCGGAGAGGGGAGAGCGGGCAGTAGAGGGCGACAACGTCCTCTGCTGCCCGCAGATAAACGGAGAAGGAAGTGACGCGCCACCATCAGCGTCAGCCTGAAGAAGCCGGCAGCCGTTGGCAAAACTGTAGCTACAAAACAGGTAAACAAAACTGTTTCTGTGTTTAAAAAGAACGAAAGCATGGATTTAGAAAGACACAGCAAGAATACACCTAAGATGATTATCACCTGTAAGTCGCTTTGGACAAAAGCGTCTGCTAAACACGTGAACATAAAGCCGCAAAACATTCTTCTGATCTTAGAGTCAATTAATCTGCTGCAGGGAGACACAAAAATAAAGGCATGACGGAAGCTTACAGTGCAAATTCAACAGTTACCAAGTAAGTCTCGCCCAAATCGAGCTGATTGGGCTGTTAGAAAGCCGGGAACGCTGCATGCATCAAAGAACATCTAAAGGGTTCAGTCTGGATTAAATCAGGACGTCTAAATAAAACCATGGAAACATAAACTGACCGAACATTCATGCAGATTCACAAGGGTATAAAACACTCTGGCTGCGATATTTCTATGCTTTATTTGTGTTTTATGAACTGAAGCAGAAGCAAGGAAGAAAAACGCAGCAGCATAGAAACAGATCAGAGCCTTTATTGGAATGTAGCAAGGCGGTAAAAACACAGGTTGAATTATTTTATTAATTTGGTTCATTAATTTAAAAAAATACTGGTCTGATGTTTTTTATGAACTTTCCTTTCTTCCAAACTCAGTTTGTTTCATTGCATCTGGAAGGTTTGAGGTAAAAGCTCCGGGTCTGAAGGATTTAACGAAGATAAAACAAAGAAAAGACGAAGCAGTGTCTGAAACTGGCATCTGTTCCACAATTGACCCCATTCCTCAAATTATACAAATAAAAACTTTAGGAAATATAAACCAGCACATCTGGGGACACAGACCAGCAGAAACAGAACATAAACAAAGATGATATTAGGATTTTAAGTTGTCATTAAAACAGCGACGAGCCTGAGGTGGAGGTTTAGAAAACATAAATAAAATATCCTGATGTTGTAAAACTTCTGTTTAACCAGAAATGTTCTGCACATGGATCTGATTTCCAAACTGTGGACTTTTACTTTGAAATAAAAAAGCACAACAACCCGGGAATAAAGAAACCTTCAGAATAAAATTCTCAGCACATCTGTTTGGTATGGTCTCTATCATTTATTTATATTTCCTCTTTGCAGATCACTTTCTAATCACAAACATCCAGAGCCTGAAGGAGAAATCCGACCCACCGGGCCCGAAGGTTAGGACATGACACCGAACACGGGGTTGTGGCGACAGATGCTCGGTCCGATCTCCTCGTAGTCTTTCTTGGTGTGACACACCTGGTAGAACTCAGGCTGGAAAAGATAAACATCAATCTGTTTGATAAAAGCTGTAAACAAACAAGTTCAGCACCAGCTGTTTTAATCAGATAAAAGCTGGGCCAGGAACTGATGTGAATCTGGTTTAGGACGAGACTAATGTAATCTGGTTTAGGACGAGACTATTGTAATCTGGTTTAGGACGAGACTAATGTAATCTGGTTTAGGATACAGCTAATGTAATCTGGTTTAGGATGAGACTAATGTAATCTGGTTTAGGACGAGACTAATGTAATCTGGTTTAGGACGAGACTAATGTAATCTGGTTTAGGATGAGGCTAATGTAATCTGGTTTAGGATACAGCTAATGTAATCTGGTTTAGGATACAGCTAATGTAATCTGGTTTACGATGAGACTAATGTAATCTGGTTTAGGACGAGACTAATGTAATCTGGTTTAGGACGAGACAAATGTAATCTGGTTTAGGACGGGACTATTGTAATCTGGTTTAGGACGAGACTAATGTAATCTGGTTTAGGACGAGACTAATGTAATCTGGTTTAGGACGAGACTAATGTAATCTGGTTTAGGACGAGACTATTGTAATCTGGTTTAGGACGAGACTAATGTAATCTGGTTTAGGATACAGCTAATGTAATCTGGTTTAGGACGAGACTAATGTAATCTGGATTAGGACGAGACTAATGTAATCTGGTTTAGGATGAGGCTAATGTAATCTGGTTTAGGATGAGACTAATGTAATCTGGTTTAGGATACAGCTAATGTAATCTGGTTTACGATGAGACTAATGTAATCTGGTTTAAAATGAGATTAATGTAATCTGGTTTAGGACGAGACTAATGTAATCTGGTTTAGGACGAGACAAATGTAATCTGGTTTAGGACGGGACTATTGTAATCTGGTTTAGGACGAGACTAATGTAATCTGGTTTAGGACGAGACTAATGTAATCTGGTTTAGGACGAGACTAATGTAATCTGGTTTAGGATTAGACTAATATAATCTGGTTTAGGACGAGACTAATGTAATCTGGTTTAGGACGAGACTAATGTAATCTGGTTTAGGACGAGACTAATGTAATCTGGTTTAGGATACGGCAAATGTAATCTGGCTTAGGATGAGATTAATGTAATCTGGTTTAGGACTAGATTAATGTAATCTGGTTTAAGACGAGACTAATGTAATCTGGTTTAGGACAAGACTAATATAATCTGGTTTAGGACGAGACTAATGTAATCTGGTTTAGGACGAGACTAATGTAATCTGGTTTAGGATACAGCTAATGTAATCTGGTTTAGGATGAGACTAATGTAATCTGGTTTAGGATGAGACTAATGTAATCTGGTTAAGGATGAGATTAATGTAATCTGGTTTAGGACGAGACTAATGTAATCTGGTTTAGGACGAGACTATTGTAATCTGGTTTAGGACGAGACTAATGTAATCTGGTTTAGGATGAGACTAATGTAATCTGGTTTAGGACGAGACTATTGTAATCTGGTTTAGGACGAGACTAATTTAATCTTGTTTAGGACGAGACTAATGTAATCTGGTTTAGGACGAGACTAATGTAATCTGGTTTAGGACGAGACTAATGTAATCTGGTTTAGGACGAGACTAATGTAATCTGGTTTAGGGTTAGACTAATGTAATCTGGTTTAGGACGAGACTAATGTAACCTGGTTTAGGACGAGACTAATGTAATCTGGTTGAGGACGAGACTAATGTAATCTGGTTTAGGATACGGCAAATGTAATCTGGTTTAGGATGAGATTAATGTAATCTGGTTTAGGACTAGATTAATGTAATCTGGTTTAGGACGAGACTAATGTAATCTGGTTTAGGATTAGACTAATGTAATCTGGTTTAGGCCGAAACTAATGTAATCTGGTTTACAATGAGACTAATGTAATCTGGTTTAGGACGAGACTAATGTAATCTGGTTTAGGACGAGACTAATGTAATCTGGTTTAGGACGAGACTAATGTAATCTGGTTTAGGACGAGACTAATGTAATCTGGTTTAGGACGAGACTAATGTAATCTGGTTTAGGATACGGCAAATGTAATCTGGCTTAGGATGAGATTAATGTAATCTGGTTTAGGACGAGACTAATGTAATCTGGTTTAGGACGAGACTAATGTAATCTGGTTTAGGACGAGACTAATGTAATCTGGTTTAGGACGAGACTATTGTAATCTGGTTTAGGACGAGGCTAATGTAATCTGGTTTAGGACGAGACTAATGTAATCTGGTTTAGGACGAGACTAATGTAATCTGGTTTAGGACGAGACTAATGTAATCTGGTTTAGGATACAGCTAATGTAATCTGGTTTAGGATGAGACTAATGTAATCTGGTTTAGGATGAGACTAATGTAATCTGGTTTAGGATGAGATTAATGTAATCTGGTTTAGGATGAGATTAATGTAATCTGGTTTAGGACGAGACTAATGTAATCTGGTTTAGGACGAGACTAATGTAATCTGGTTTAGGACGAGACTAATGTAATCTGGTTTAGGACGAGACTAATGTAATCTGGTTTAGGATACAGCTAATGTAATCTGGTTTAGGATGAGACTAATGTAATCTGGTTTAGGATGAGACTAATGTAATCTGGTTTAGGATGAGATTAATGTAATCTGGTTTAGGATGAGATTAATGTAATCTGGTTTAGGACGAGACTAATGTAATCTGGTTTAGGACGAGACTAATGTACCGTAAATCCTCTAATACAGGCCCGGGCCTGTATTTGACTCAAGCTCATCAAGCTCCAGGCCTTTATTAGAAGGAGGGCCAGTATTAGAGGCAGGCCTCTATTTCTATTTGAGCAAAATGAACTAATGGTTTGCTGGAGTTTTTGACAATTAAAAGTGCGCCCACATTTTCAAAGTTAAACACATTTCTTTTAACAACGGTAGTTCTTGCTTCAGCCATCTCCCCCCTCCCCCTGCGCATCAGCCGCAAACTCACTGATGCGCCTGCAGCCTCTCGGAGTTCCTGCTGCTCTAAACATTAAAATAATTATTTCATTTTCTGTTCCTCACTTCTGATTACCTTCAATGGTGTCTGTTTGTTGCAACCACCAGGTACAAAAACTAACTTGTTTTTATTTGACTATTTTTCTGTCCTGCCTGTTTATTATCTTCCTGCATCTCCTCTCAATCCTAAAGAAAAACTGCTGCCTGGGTTCATATATATTCACCTCATGAGTTACCTTTGAACTGCAGTTCTAAAGGATCTACCGACCGCAAAAACAGCGGAGCGCTTGCTGTTTGGCGGCCGTATCAGTGATCAGTGCATCGGAGGACAAGGTGATGCCCGCAGCGCCCCGCTCCACAGCATGCAGCGAAACGCATCAGGTGCAAATAAAAGACAGAAAACATTAAAGGAAATGAACAGACATGAACGATCGCGTGTTAAATTAGCTTTTGAGGTGGCGACACCTGATTGTTACTGTGACCGTGCTCAGGAGGCAGATCTACTGACCGAGAAAACAGCGGAGCGCTCCCTGCTTGCCGGCCGCATCAGTGATCTGAGCGTCGGAGGACAAGTTGATGCGCCCCGCTCCACAGCAGCGAAACACATCAGGCGCAAATAAAAGACAGAAAACATTAAAGGAAATGAACCGACATGAACGATCGCGTGTCAGTACCTACGGTCTGGCACAGCGTATTGCTGATCACAGAGAATGTGATCATACGATAATTCAATAGGGAGCGTGGTTTCACAGACGCGGAAGTGATAGCGTCGGTGAAACGCCGGCTGCTCTAGGAAACCCCCGAGCGTTCGAGCGTCAACGAAGTGACACGGAAATGCCGGGCTTTCCAGAAGTAAGTAAGATAACTTACTATGAGCTGATAGTTCGTTGGATTGATTGGTAGGTTGGAAACTCTGATCATGAAACTGAAGAAACGATGACTGAGCTGTAAAGGCGACTTCCGTTTATAGCTGCGGTTTGTGACGTAGGTGCGACGTGAAGGGAATCCCCGCGAGGGGCATGCTGGGAGTCCCTACTTCGCAGATTTTCACCTATCGCGGCCAGGTCTGGAACGCATCTACCGCGATAAACGAGGGATTACTGTAGTTCATACACCCCCTACTGCTGCTCTCCAGAGTGTTCTGCAGCATAATCAGCACGTTCTCTTTGAACTTGATAGTGTAATGACCTGGCTGGGGTTGTAAGCCAGGTGCATTCTGGGTATTGTATTATATGTGTTTCCTATCGTTCTGCTAGTTCCTATGTGCTGATTTGCGTGTTGTGTGAGTGTTATGTAAGCCACAGGGAAGGTGATGTGTGTTCTGTGGAGCGGGTTGAATTAGCATGGTTAACTGACACCGTGACTCTGTGTGGTAGGAGCGTGATAGAGGATCGTGTCTGAAGCGTTACAAAGCTTGAAGAAAAAGCCTAATAAAGGTCTGCGTGAACCCCTACTGCCTCCTGCTGGTTGATTTGGGGACTATAACCCTGCCGCTGGGACGCTCGTACTTGCTTGTTACCACATTCCATCCGGCCACAATAAGAGACCGGCCATTATTTACCTCCGCTGACTCCGACACCGGCCAAAATTGGAGACCCGGCCTTTAAATGAATACCGGCCTGTATTAGAGGATTTACGGTAATCTGGTTTAGGACGAGACTAATGTAATCTGGTTTAGGACGAGACTAATGTAATCTGGTTTAGGACGAGACTATTGTAATCTGGTTTAGGACGAGACTAATTTAATCTGGTTTAGAACGAGACTAATGTAATCTGGTTTAGGACGAGACTAATGTAATCTGGTTTAGAATTAGACTAATGTAATCTGGTTTAGGACGAGACTAATGTAATCTGGTTTAGGACGAGACTAATGTAATCTGGTTTAGGACGAGACTAATGTAATCTGGTTTAGGATACGGCAAATGTAATCTGGTTTAGGATGAGATTAATGTAATCTGGTTTAGGACTAGATTAATGTAATCTGGTTTAGGACGAGACTAATGTAATCTGGTTTAGGACGAGACTAATGTAATCTGGTTTAGGACGAGACTAATGTAATCTGGTTTAGGACGAGACTAATGTAATCTGGTTTAGGACGAGACTAATGTAATCTGGTTTAGGATACGGCTAACGTAATCTGGTTTAGGATACGGCTAATGTAATCTGGTTTAGGATGAGACTAATGTAATCTGGTTTAGGATGAGACTAATGTAATCTGGTTTAGGACGAGACTAATGTAATCTGGTTTAGGATACGGCTAACGTAATCTGGTTTAGGATACGGCTAATGTAATCTGGTTTAGGACGAGACTAATGTAATCTGGTTTAGGACGAGACTAATGTAATCTGGTTTAGGACGAGACTAATGTAATCTGGTTTAGGATACGGCTAACGTAATCTGGTTTAGGATACGGCTAATGTAATCTGGTTTACGATGAGACTAATGTAATCTGGTTTAAGATGAGACTAATGTAATCTGGTTTAGGACTAGACTAATGTAATCTGGTTTACGATGAGACTAATGTAATCTGGTTTACGATGAGACTAATGTAATCTTGTTTAGGACGAGATTAATGTAATCTGGTTTAGGACGAGACTAATGTAATCTGGTTTAGGACGAGACTAATGTAATCTGGTTTAGGATGAGACTAATGTAATCTGGTCTAGGACGAGACTAATGTAATCTGGTCTAGGACGAGACTAATGTAATCTGGTCTAGGACGAGACTAATGTAATCTTGTTTAGGATGAGACTAATGTAATCTGGTTTAGGATACAGCTAATGTAATCTGGTTTAGGACGAGACTAATGTAATCTGGTTTAGGACGAGACTAATGTAATCTGGTTTAGGACGAGGCTAATGTAATCTGGTTTAGGACGAGACTAATATAATCTGGATTAGGATGAGGCTAATGTAATCTGGTTTAGGACGAGACTAATGTAATCTGGTTTAGGACGTGACTAATGTAATCTGGTTTAGGACGAGACTAATGTAATCTGGTTTAGGATACGGCTAACGTAATCTGGTTTAGGATGAGACTAATGTAATCTGGTTTAGGATGAGACTAATGTAATCTGGTTTACGATGAGACTAATGTAATCTGGTTTAGGACGAGACTAATGTAATCTGGTTTAGGACGAGACTAATTTAATCTGGTTTAGGACGAGACTAATGTAATCTGGTTTAGGATATGGCTAACGTAATCTGGTTTAGGATACGGCTAATGTAATCTGGTTTACGATGAGACTAATGTAATCTGGTTTAGGATGAGACTAATGTAATCTGGTTTAGGACGAGACTAATGTAATCTGGTTTAGGACGAGACTAATGTAATCTGGTTTAGGACGAGACTAATGTAATCTGGTTTAGGACGAGACTAATGTAATCTGGTTTAGGATACGGCTAACGTAATCTGGTTTAGGATACGGCTAATGTAATCTGGTTTAGGATGAGACTAATGTAATCTGGTTTAGGATGAGACTAATGTAATCTGGTTTAGGATGAGACTAATGTAATCTGGTTTAGGATACGGCTAACGTAATCTGGTTTAGGATACGGCTAACGTAATCTGGTTTAGGACGAGACTAATGTAATCTGGTTTAGGACGAGACTAATGTAATCTGGTTTAGGATGAGGCTAATGTAATATGGTTTAGGATGAGGCTAATGTAATCTGGTTTAGGACGAGACTAATATAATCTGGATTAGGATGAGGCTAATGTAATCTGGTTTAGGACGAGACTAATGTAATCTGGTTTAGGACGAGACTAATGTAATCTGGTTTAGGACGAGACTAATGTAATCTGGTTTAGGACGAGACTAATGTAATCTGGTTTAGGATGAGGCTAATGTAATCTGGTTTAGGACGAGACTAATGTAATCTGGTTTAGGATACGGCTAACGTAATCTGGTTTAGGATGAGACTAATGTAATCTGGTTTAGGATGAGACTAATGTAATCTGGTTTACGATGAGACTAATGTAATCTGGTTTAGGACGAGACTAATGTAATCTGGTTTAGGACGAGACTAATGTAATCTGGTTTAGGACGAGACTAATGGAATCTGGTTTAGGACGAGACTAATGTAATCTGGTTTAGGATACGGCTAATGTAATCTGGTTTACGATGAGACTAATGTAATCTGGTTTAGGATGAGACTAATGTAATCTGGTTTAGGATGAGACTAATGTAATCTGGTTTAGGACGAGACTAATGTAATCTGGTTTAGGACGAGACTAATGTAATCTGGTTTAGGACGAGACTAATGTAATCTGGTTTAGGATACGGCTAACGTAATCTGGTTTAGGATACGGCTAATGTAATCTGGTTTAGGATGAGACTAATGTAATCTGGTTTAGGATGAGACTAATGTAATCTGGTTTAGGATGAGACTAATGTAATCTGGTTTAGGATACGGCTAACGTAATCTGGTTTAGGATACGGCTAACGTAATCTGGTTTAGGACGAGACTAATGTAATCTGGTTTAGGACGAGACTAATGTAATCTGGTTTAGGACAAGACTAATGTAATCTGGTTTAGGACGAGACTAATGTAATCTGGTCTAGGATGAGACTAATGTAATCTGGTCTAGGACGAGACTAATATAATCTGGTCTAGGACGAGACTAATGTAATCTTGTTTAGGATGAGACTAATGTAATCTGGTTTAGGATACAGCTAATGTAATCTGGTTTAGGACGAGACTAATGTAATCTGGTTTAGGACGAGACTAATGTAATCTGGTTTAGGATGAGGCTAATGTAATCTGGTTTAGGACGAGACTAATATAATCTGGATTAGGATGAGGCTAATGTAATCTGGTTTAGGACGAGACTAATGTAATCTGGTTTAGGACGAGACTAATGTAATCTGGTTTAGGAAGAGACTAATGTAATCTGGTTTAGGACGAAACTAATGTAATCTGGTTTAGGATACGGCTAACGTAATCTGGTTTAGGATGAGACTAATGTAATCTGGTTTAGGATGAGACTAATGTAATCTGGTTTACGATGAGACTAATGTAATCTGGTTTAGGACGAGACTAATGTAATCTGGTTTAGGACGAGACTAATGTAATCTGGTTTAGGACGAGACTAATGTAATCTGGTTTAGGATACGGCTAACGTAATCTGGTTTAGGATACGGCTAATGTAATCTGGTTTACGATGAGACTAATGTAATCTGGTTTACGATGAGACTAATGTAATCTGGTTTACGATGAGACTAATGTAATCTGGTTTAGGACGAGACTAATGTAATCTGGTTTACGATGAGACTAATGTAATCTGGTTTAGGATGTGGCTAATGTAATCTGGTTTAGGACGAGACTAATGTAATCTGGATTAGAATACAACAAACTCCTAATATTTTACATTAAAATCCAGTTAGTTCACCAAGCATATTAAGCTGCAGCTCAGAAATGTTCCTTCTAGAAGGAAACTTGGGACCGACTCACAAGCCCAAACAGAATTTCACAGTTTGAAGTATTGAGTGAGAAACATTTTCTGACTGATAAAAATTGATTTCCTCGTTCTGTCACAAAGAATGATGAGCGCACGTTGATGAAGCGGTTTGAAGTACTTACAGTTGATGCTAACATTGATCCTCCGAACCACACAGCATATCTCTGCATATGATGAGTGATGACCTGCACATCGATTGGTTTGGGCTGTGGAGGAAGGAAGAAGGGAAAAACACAGCAATCAGACTCTGGGAGGAACGCTCCATGAGTCAGAATCCAGTCAGCTTAATGGATTTGGAGTCTAAAAAGGTAATAACTGCTTTGTTAGTGATGGACAAACATCTGGTTTGTTTCTTTAGGCTGAAACATTTCCCGCTTCAGCGGATTTCTGCGGGATGACTTTGCCAAAATCCAATCCAAGCATTTTCCCTAAACCTTTCAAGGAGAGTTCTCGAATCAGAGCCTTCCTTTGATTTGCACACATGAAGAGAACATTTACACTTTGAATGATTAGATTATTCCTTGGATCATAAATGACCCTAGCTAATAATTCCAAAAACATTTTCTGGAGTTTGAAGCACCCATGAAACCTCGAGGTTCTGACCTTGAGTTTGCCTCCACTCAGCTCCTCGCTGAGCTTCAGCCGAGCGTCCACGGTCCTCTTCAGGTCCCTCTGCAGCCGGCGCCCAAAGTCCCTGAACATGGTGGAACCTCCGGACAGAACCACGTTCTGAGGACAGAAACACACGACACCAGCCCAAGACGATGGTTCATTAGTCTGGGAATTCTGAAGGCAATTCGTCCTCATGTAGGAAACTAAAAGTCTGAATTGTTGATGTTTTATTAATCTGCTGAATAAAAAGGAACTTTTTGGTGAAAAGATTTTTTAATCATAAAAATACAGAATTCAGAAAAAATAGGATAATAATCCAGAAGCTGGATTAGTGATGTGAGATTGTGACGACTCCAGCTGTAGATGGCTCTGGAGCGGCGCATTACCTTGTAGAGGGGACGGCGGACATCGATGGGACAGTTCTGAATGACCTCGTCCACCACCTCGGAGATGGGCTGGGTGAAATCTGGGTTTGCAAACTGGGAAGAAATAAAACCCATCAGAGACAAGGTAAGAGAAGACTTAATATTCAATAATCTGCTGAGAGTGGAGGGCAGCAGACCAACCTCAGGGTGGAAGAAGATCTCGGGCCCCAGGAAGCGCTCGTAGCCCACGTCGATGGTGAACTCCTTCTTGCTGACGGAGTTGATGCCCGTGTACTGTTTGATCCACTTGGAGCCATCGGTGTCGTACTTACTGAACTCTTTGACTAAATCTGGGCAGACGTAGCTGAAGCGTTCCTGGGGGGGAGGGGGGACAGAGACGTTTAAATCCTCGGTCCTCTTCTCTGGGGGGGGCAATTATTTCTGTTGTATCTACTTTTGAGTTTTCAGCCATTTTAAAGAGATTAAAAAACTGAATCTAAAAGGTTAATTTCTTCTCAACAATGAGGAGCTTTTAGGTTTAACAAAGTTTTTATTTGATGTTTTTGGGGCTAAAGACTGAAACAATCCCAGCTTTAAGCCTGCTGTCAGCATGTGGACTCAGAGCTCCACCTGGTGGCTAAAGGAGGAACAGCAGCTCAGATCCTGATTCAGGCCTAGTCCAACACTCGAACGCTCCTCTGTCAAGTGCACTTGGAGGAAGTGCACAGTAAGGCTTTGAGAGCATGGTACACAAGCGTGTAAATAATTTCTGAATTGGGACATGGAGCATTGGGTCATCGACAGCAACGCATGCCAGGATGCTGGTCGCTGTGCTACTTTTTAAAGGTATTGGCCAGACTCGGCATTAAAATTGTAGAAATTCAGTATAACTACAATTTACCATCTATATAAACATGTACTGGGTTCAGTTTTTAATTTTGTTAAGGACTTTTGTCATAAATCATTACAGAAAATCCAAATCCTCTCCTCCAGACAGTGAAGAACTGTGTTTCGCATTCGTCGCTCCAGCATGTATAACAAGCTAGCTGCTGATGCTAGTATTGAGAATAACGGTATTTTGTTTACTTTCATGCTCCTAATTATTACATAAAATTGCGTTTACAACTGCAGCAAAAGGTCTGAGCCATGTGTCCGTGTCCTACACGCATTTTTAAATAACAGGTCTGATCTAAAATAATAACCTACATCTATAAATCCATCTAGAACCGCACCGCTACTTCTGGACTCTCGACGAGTCCCGTTAGCATGACTGCAGCAACACTGCTAACCGTGTTAGCTTCGATGAGGAAAAAACAAGTCATTTGGGAAAGCTACGACACACACAGATATAATCTAAAAGATGATCCCCATATCAACAATAGATCTTCCGTGGACCAGTAGAACCTCCGTGCCATCCTGGATTAGTGCAAACGAGTCAAACTAAGGAGTTACTCCAGCATCAGGAAGATTTATTCTGGTGACATTTAGTTATAGATTTTCTGGAGTTATATCAATAAATGCATGGAGCTGTAAAACTGGCAGCACACATATCTGTAGATTACTGAACTATATTGGGACACATGATGGAGCTAAGACCAGCGGAGAACTCGTCAGCTTAGAGCTCCCAGTGGAGCACAGAAATGAAATGTTTAAGAAAGTAAACAAACTACCGATTTTGGTTCTGAAGATGAACAGAATCCACCTCGATGTTCAAATCGGGTCGCAGGTCTTCTGAGTCAAACGGTCTAAAACATGTCTGCACCTCCGGTAGTGATATCCAGCTGGCGGGGTCGGAGTTCGGTTGAACGTCTACGGTAATCCAATATCTGTTCTTGTCATTGTATCCCAGAGAAAAACCTAATCTGACCGACTAGCAGAGGCTTCAGAAGCTTCACCTGACTGATGACACATTGTTCTCTGCTATAACGCTAACGCAGAAACACCGGAGTCAGGCGTTGTTTACTACAGCCCAGCGCTTAGACCGGAAGTTAGTTTCTGTTTTTCCCTCGCCGGTCACAAACATCAGATTTTCTTACAATTCCAGACGTCAAAATCCAAAAACATGTTTCATCTGAGGTTTTAATACACATTTACACATGCTATTCAAAGGAATTTTGCCTCTGGCCGATATCTTTAAAAAATGTTTATTAACAAAAAAAAAACTATTATGTGAAATTTATTTAGTCATTGCTGCTTTGTCTAAAACTTTAAGAGCATCAATGAATCATCCTAAAATAAACTAATTATATTAGAAAACACATTTTTTCTGAAAAGGCACTTGACCCTTTTCTCACGCAGCAATGGATTGTGGGTAATACCCTGCATCCAAGTCCGCATTGTTGCAGACTTGGGTGGATCAAGGATGCAAAAAGGGGTGTGGTCAACTTCAGCACTTGGGAATTGGAACACCCTACGCACTTGCACCCCTGGCCGTGATCACGCAAGTGTGGAAGTGTGAGCGTTGGGATCGGACCGTAGTCATTTGTGTTTATATGCCCCCTCCTGAGGTGGAGGACATACCTTCACTGCCTTGGCCGTCTCCAGCGACTGCTCGGGGGGGATGCCCACCTCCCGCTCCCTGAGCAGCTGCTGGGTGAAATAGGTGATGTCTCGTCCTGCGATGGGGATGTGTTTTATACAGCTGCCGATCACATAACCCTCAGCCTGGAAGGAGAGGGGGGCGAGTTTAATCTGCACTGATGCTTCATGAAGCAGCAGCACACACACACACACACTCACACAGATGTGCCCACTCACCACAGGGATCACGTGTGTGACGCCGTCTCCACTGTCGATGACAGTACCTGTGAGTGTCCGTTCTCCCACCTGTCGGGACGTCCAGGAGGCGGCAAGAGCCAGCACGGCCTGCCACACACACACACACACACACACTCACAATGTTTCTCGTGCATCCTCAGACAGGTGAGTGTGAACAGGTGTGACTCTGACCTGCACTGCGATGTACAGACCCGGTACGTTGAAGGACTCAAACATGATCTCTGCCGTGTACTCTCGGTTCTCCGGTGTGTTCAGAGGAGGCTCCGTCTGCAAAAGCAGAACCAGTCAGTCCAAACGGGACCGGTTTCAGATTGACTAAGGTCTGACATCATAACTTCAATCATAAAGCCTGTGACATCACACCAGTGACTCGGGCAGCAGGAGTCTCACACTGGTTTAGATAGGACCTAAAGAGTCCAGCATTACCAGGAGGAAGTAGTGGTCCTCGGGTTCGGCCCGGAGGTACTTAAAGATGATTTGTTCCATGAAGCGCTCCATCAGGTCCCAGTCCTCCACAATCCCATGGCGGATCGGCCACTGGAGCAAAAGCAAGTAAAACATGAGAAATCTTCTAGTTCTGCTAACTAAATCAACACCTCCCATCGAAAACACTCTTCTGTTCACCCTTCCTCCATCTAAGGTCGGAATGAGGAGGTAACATTTCCCTCCTGGAAAACCTCCACAGGGAGGTCATGAGGAAAAATCCCAATCACATTCCTGAACCACCTCAGTGGACTCTTACGGATGAGGAGCAGCAGCTCTCCTCATCACAACTCTTAAGCCTGGTTTATGCTTCTCCGTCAGCTCCGCAAGGGACAGACACGCACGGATTGACGGAAGCGTGTTGCTCTCATGCTTCTCCGTCTCCTGGAGAGTGTTGCAAAGCAATTCCCCGGCAGGACCACAGAGGGTGTAGCGCTGTTCTGTGGTATCCTGTCATGTATCGGTCCAAGATAGTGTGTTTATATTGTGTTTTTTGTGTATAAAAGAGACTTTTAACACGGACATATTTGTCTCTCATTCTCCCACCTCTTCATGTGCTCCCCACCTCTAAACCCACGTTTCCTGTCATTTCTGTCCACAAATAAAATGCTTGCTGTGCATCTTTTCACTCCTCCAGTCACGGGAGAATTAAACGTTCATATTTGTAGAGTTTTTTCGTGAGGTATTCTTCAAGCTTCTCCGTGTCTGCCGCTAGTTATCCTCGGCTCTCTTTGCAATGGCGGCGCTGTAAACAACAGCGGCGTCCTGACCAATCACAAGCTTGCGTTGTCCGTCTCGTTCGACGGATGTTTAAAAAAGTGGGCTCGACTCCGTACGTACTTGCGTGCCTGCCGGAGCCCTACGCAAGGATGGATAATGGTGTTGCGTGTCTCCGCACTGACGCAGACGGAGAAGCATAAATCTGGCTTAAGTCTGAAGCTGGCCACTCTGAGGAGAAGGAGCCTTTCAGCCACTTCGGTCCAGGACTGGAAACAACCACAGAATTCCATAAAAGTACCTGCAGAATTCCTCATCAATAACCACGGAATGTGAGTCTGCTGTTAAGGCTCATAAACCATCATCACCACAAGAAGCAGTTTGAAGCTGATTTGAGACTAGCTGTTCGCAGATCAAACCTGAAGGAAACAAACTCCATTTCTCTGAGCAGAGGCTGTTCAGAAAGCCGTCAGTGAGATGGGAATTATTTATAACTTTTACACAGAAACGCACATCGCTGCCTTCCGGGTTTATCTGAAATAACGGGAGGATCGTACCTTGGTGGAATACGTGGGCTTGTCGACTGCTTCATCTCCGATGTAGAAGTCCAAGTCGTCGACTCCCTTCATCATCCTCCGCTGGGCCTGGTCTCCCACTTTGGCCGACTCCTTGATGGCGATACCTGAGAAGGGACAGGATGTATTAATAGAACAGCTTACAAAGGAAAGGCGTGTTTATAACAGCTGTTAGAGCGATAATCTGTAGCAACCACAGCTGGACTCACACGACGGGACGATGAACTGCGGCTCCGTGTTTCCAGCATATCCCAGTTTGGTGTAGCTGAAAGAGAAAAGAATCCACCATCAGGATTAATGACACCACTCAAAGCGCTTTAACCTACAGTCCTTCATACGTCCATCACAGAGGAAGTCAGCTCCAGCTGCTTTTGGCTGATGTGCCTGATTGTTCTGATCAATGGCACTTCGCCCAGAACCGTCTCCTGCTCTCCGTGCCCAGAACTTCTTTAAAGACACGAGGTGAAGGACTTCCTCTGTGGCAGGCCCAAGCTCTGGAACGAGCGTCCATTCTCTGTAAGGCCTTCCACTTCGGTGGAAGTTTTTAAAGTTGGGCTGAAGACGTTCCTCTAGGACCAGGCCTTTCCCCGGTCATAGAGGAACGCCGTGAGACGTTTTCTGTTTCAACCTGCTGGATGCTTTCACTGTGTCCAAGTTTCTTTTACTTCAGCTTTTTATACTCTTATTTTCTGTACAATGCTTCAGTGTTATTTTTGTGCCTGTAAAGCGCTACATAATAAAGGCCTGCGTTGAGATGAGCTGAATGCCATCACTGTGTGTGTGCGTGCATGTGTGTGTGTGTGTGTGTGTGTGTGTGTGTGTGTGTGTGTGTGTGTGTGTGTGTGTGTGTGTGTGTGTGTGTGTGTGTGTGTGTTACTGGCGGTGGTCCAAAACCAGCTGAAGCTGGAGTTTTCCAAACACACCAAGAAGAGACTCATTCGTGTTGCTTTAGTGAACCGAGTGGAAGGCAGATCTAGCAGCTGGGCTACAGGGTCTCAGAACCGGTATGCACCGGCTGCCGGATCGACTCTGGGTCCCGAACCTACCGTTGTCTACAGTAGATAAGTAGGTCTTACAGATGTTATGACACCACGTTCATAAAAGGTACGGTAGCACGTTGACACTAAAGGTTTGATTGCGGCTGCAGTCCAAAAACAAACTTTTCAGAGAAAATATGTTTGCATTGCTAAAGGAAACGCAAAATGAAAGCAAAAACATCAGCTGATAAACGCAGAGTCTCAGCAGCTCTCGAGTTTGGTTAAATGGGCAAAATAAAAATAAATGAATGAACTTTATTGAACAAATAGCAAGCAACACATTGAATGAATGGATTTATTTACTTAAGAACTAACGAAACATACAGAAGACTCCACCTTTAATCAAATGGAATGGGCTGCTGGTTCTGTAAATACATAAAAATGTTCACATATAAGAACTGTTGTGCTTTTGGCGGTCTGATGTTGGCTTCATGTAGCGTCACATTCTTTAAAGAGCAAAGACGATATGTGTTTTATTTAAAAAATTACAGTTAAAGGAAACATTTAGGCGGTAAAAAACCGCAATTTATTAACAAAACTGATTAACTCTTTCCAAAACTTGTGTGTGAAAGGGTTAGTGTGAGGGTGGATTCGCCGTAGTGTGAAGTCATCGACAGGCGCAGGTCAGCGAGTCGATCTGGCAGCGCGAGCAGATCCGGTCATCATGGTCATGGTCCTCTGTGGACCTCCGTAGTCCTCACTGTGGACCTCTCTAGGTTTCAGATGTATTTTTTTCCCACAGCAGCCAAACAAGCTAAAGTTGTTCTAACCTTTGACCTTTAGCCTTCTAACTGAGTCTGAGATGAGTTGGTGCACAAAAACCTCAAATTTGTTTTGCCAGTTTTATTCCACTCCTGCTAAATAAATTTGCTAAACAAATGAAAAGTAAATCCTGTAAAACGAAGGATGATGCTGGGATAATGAACTCAAACCAGCCCTTTAATGAATCATCTATCCGGGTTGAGGAGGTACCGGATCAGACAAGGAGACCCGGACCACCTCCTGCTCAGACTCTCACCAGCTCCTCCTGGAGGATCCAAAGGTGCTCCCAGGACACATGGCCAATAATCCCTCCAGTGACTCCTTCATTTTTCCTGCTTGTGATGTCTAACAGATTTAAATGAAAACGGCTGTGAAGAAAGCCCCGCCCACTCACCTAAACACTAAACAGACATGTCCTCATCTGGAAAACTTTATTTTTAGTTTGGACAATGTCCCGTTAATTTACACTGAGGGGGCGGGGCTTAAAAATCCTGGATATTACAGATGCAAATTATCCTACTTTGTAGGGATCTGATTGTCCTGACTGGTTAAACTGGAACTGGTTTAATACTTGAAACCGTGTTTTCTTTCCTATCTGAGGAACATCTGGAGTCCAACATCAAAGCCGTGAGTTTACGTTCTGTTGCCGGTAGAAACACCGCTCCACATGTTACCCAGATGTGAAGTCAGCCACCGACATGGCGGGCACAGCAGACCACATCCTGGTCCTCACAGAGGCTCCTTTCAATTGAAATGAAGGAAAAACACGAGGAAGCATCAGCAGGATCAAAGCACGGAAGTCCTCAAGATGTCTTATTAATGCATCCTTTAAAATGTATCCTGAACGAAGACTTGGTTAGGGTTAGATAAACAAGGAAAGAAAATATATAAATAAAAACGTGGAATTTTACTAAGAGAAAAAGTAGAAAACAGACATGTTTGTTTTAAGTTCAGCCCTCTTGGTTTTTGTTTTATTTTAATGTAACATATTCATTAAGCAAGTAATTATAGTTTAGTTTGTGTAAAACTAAAGGAAATAAATACCTGCTGCACCACAGAAATGAAGCAACAGCTGATATTCCAAACAAAACCAGACTCGTTGACACCAAGGCTGAACCTGATGGACAACTTTAGCTTTTTTCTAGTTTTAGTAGCTAAAAACTGCTTTATTTGATAATAACGGTGAGGCTTTCCATCATGAAGAGTTTCTCCCGTTTCCATCCTGTGAACAGGAAGCGGCTCAGGGTTTGTGACAGCAGGAGCTTTCTGTCGGACTCATTCCACAGAAGAGTCTGAGCATGTCGGCCTCGGCGAGCCTCAACAGGCAGAAAAATGCTGAACATCAATCAGAGGACACCCCAAAAACACACTCACGTCCTCAGACACTCATGTGGAAATTCACATGGGTTATGAGCTGCGTTTACATGCAAGCCTTTTATTTAATAAGGAAAAAATAAAACAGACGTGCTGTTGGTTGTTGCCTCAGACAGAAGACACATAACTCCATCCAGCAGAACCAGAACCTGGCTACACCCAGCATACCAAACCTAACACCGGTCAGTACATTTAGAACAATACAAGAACTAAGTCCAGTTGTACTTTTTTGGACACCGTGAAGACGACTGGGTGACAGATACTGAACTAACTCAGTACCTCCAAACATCTGTCCACAACTGGCGCCTGCAGAATCAGCTGAAAGCCAACGTTTCCACAAACCCATCTAAGTTACATCTTGAACCAGCCAAATAAAAACTCCAGATCAGGCTCCAATTTCTTTACATTTTTCTTCCTCGAAGTCAAAATTCAAAAGAGCTTTCCTCTCAAGGCCACATCATCAGTTATTAAATACAACTCATTAGTAAACAGAGAGAAAGCAAGGGGTGTGAGTACACTGCCCTGTGGGATCCCTGATGCAGAGCTTTAGCCTCCATCAGCTTTTACAACACATTACTGCACTGAACTCTACAAACACATCGTTTCATTAAAATGTACCCTATGTTTTACCAGACAGTCTCTCACTCACACACACACGCTCGTGCCTCAGGGTTTGTGCACAGTGATGTGTTCTGCCTTTGTCAGAAATATAAATGACATCTGCTTGGATGGCAACTCTAATCAAACCCAGATCTCATCCTGGTGCAGATCAAAGCAGTGGACTTGTTTCTAGTGTGTGTGAAGTGTGTTCACACCTCTATATGCGCACACACACACACACACACACACACACACACACACACACACAATCTGCCTTTAAGTTAATCAAACCAATAACACACTCAACCCTTCCTGCTGCAGGAGGCAGGACCACAACAGACCTCAGCGAAACCGGAAGTGTAAAGAAATGCGTTGAAGCGGCATGTGCGATCATAATTATAAATGTCTGTTTGTAGGTTAAATATGAGGAATTAGAGGAGTCTGGCAATAATCCTGCTCAGAGGTTCGGACCATATAAGGAGTAAAAAGCGTGAATGAGGAAGTGTCGGGGTCGGATAGGAAGTAGCCGCGCGCCTGCTCAGATAAACATGAGAAAGTCACAGAATTAAATGGTTAAGTGTCACCATTATGCTACCTGGCACGCGGAATGGAACCCACCACGTAAAGAATGGCTGTGCCTGATAACCGGACATTAAATGAATGAAAGCAGCGGGAAGGAACGCTTCCTCTCAGGCATTATTAACAGAAAACAGCACGTAAATACCACGGTGACTGTTTAAATCACAGCAGCGGATAGTTGTTTACTCCGTTCGTTTGGGATTACAGCCAGCATGGGCATACTGAGGACCGAGACACTGCCCGCTTACATCCACAAACACACCGATAGCCCCCCGTCAGCGAGCTCCTGGCCCCCGGCTCTCCGCTCTGGATGCACCGGGGTACGGCTTCCTGCTGCTTACCCTGTGCCGCAGTCTACAACACACGCCGGTAACCGTGCAGCCATCTCTGCCCCAAGTCTCTTTGTCGGTACGGGAGCGGTAGATTCGGATGGCGAGCCGGCTGTGTCGGCTGGAGGATGTGGCAAGCCGTCCACAGGCGGAACCGTGAGCCTGCACAGAACCGTTTCCTCTTCCGCGCTCGGCTTCTGGGAGAGGCAAGATGGCGGAGACCAGTGTTGTGTTAAAAAAGGCGCCCCGTTCAGAAAACGACTCACGCTCTGGGGCGTAAGATTTATTCACAAATATTAAGAGAATTTTAAAAGTCTTAAACTGATTCCTGGTTGTTTTACGTTTATCGACAGCTGTTTTATTGTGTATTATATAAACATCGGGAAGAAAGCGTTTAATGGCAGACTGGGCATTGAAAACGTCACAGCGCACGTCATACACACCTAAATACACAGATTTTTAAGGTCATGGTAAAATAAATGTTCGATACATGGGTTATAAAACTACTAAAGTAACCATCTGGTCACTTTAGGGTTCAAAACAGCTTATTAGAGAAATCAAGTGCTCTGAAAGGGACTTTGGCTCCTCAAGAGCCGGGGTACTTTTTTAGGTACAACACCTGTCAGAGCGCTGCGGGCAGGGCTGAGCTGCTGTCAATCATCTCATCACTGGGGGTGATGTGCATGGAGCAGTGGTTCCCTACCGTTCCCTACCCCGGGTGTGGACCCCCTCCCCTCTCGACATAAGCAAGGGGGTCCTCCTGGAAAAAAAGGTTGGGAACCACAAGAGTTGAATACCGTAGTTAGTTTATTGTTCATGTGTTCGGATTTTAAGAACTTTAGATGTTTTGATTACTCTGCATGTTTTGACTTTGTGGAAGGCATGATAGCGATTTCTCATGGAGCAAAATGCTTTTGTTGTTTTTTTACTACTATTATCTCCAGTTTGTCAACTATCAGCTTCATGTCCTGATTAGTGATGTCACATTCCTGCTTTCGGGTTTCTTTTGCAACACCGGAGACCCGTCGAGGACTGACTGGGTCCAGATCTGCTGAATCGGGCCCAGTCCAGTTTCCTGGTACAGCAGCTCCCTTGAGCCAGGGTTGAGCAGTTCAGAGAAGGAGTAGCTACATTCTTATATAATCACAAGAACCAGGTTAACTAATTAATAAACAAGTCAAGAGAACCTCTTAATAGAAAAATTATCAATAAGATTCAAAAAGTCCACCTTTAAAATACAAACTTTAATTAAAATTAAGAAATCAAATTACATGCAATAATAAATAAAATTTAGGGATGCACAATATGTTGGCATCAATATCGTTATCGGCTGGTGTTAGTAATTTTTTAACATATCGGTATCGGCCCGATAAGTAAAACTGGGCCGATATTAACAACCATCTCATAAGCATAAATGGGTGTGGTATGTGTATATAAGAAAACATTGCAAATATCAATTATTGGCCATAACAGTGATCGTTATCGGTTATATCGGTGCATCTCCAATAAAGTCAGTTGTTTTTTATATTTTTAGGATTGAATCAAGGTAAGTTTGAGTTCATTCTAAGAGCCTCTGGCAGCATTATTGATATGAATGAACGAAAGAAAGAAAGAAAGAAAGAAAAAGATCTTTTATAGCACTTCTCAAGATAAAAATCACAAGGCGCTTCACAAGAACAAAAAATTTCAAATAATTTTAAAAATCTTCAAAAAAGTTGTAAAAATTAGAAAAATAAATAATGAGAAAATAAATAGGAAAGAGGGAAATCATTGGACTGAATAGGTAGAAAGAGCAGAATAAGGAGAAGGTGGTGATGAAGGTCCCACCAAAGTCTGAACAGGTGAGTTTAAAGGAGACCACTGAGTCCACTGATCTCAGTCTCAGAGGGAGAGGTCCAGTGTCTGGGGGCCACACAGCCTGGCCTGCCAGACTCCTCCTCTGTTTAATCCTGCACAGAGAAAGGGTCTGGGAACTCTCGTATTCAAATAGCCCCACCCCCTGAGATTTCTAGCGCTGAGCAGCGATGTCACACACCATAACTCCGAGTTTGTCATAAACATGGCGACTGAAGCGACGTTCCCTGCAGCTCTTTCCTCTGTTCTAAATTACTTGAATGTCTTTAGAACAACAAGTAGATGCGCTAAAAGCCTTAATTCTAAAAAAATAAAAGATGTTTGCGCCGTTGCCAGTCGCCATTTCTTTCTACAGCTAAAAAACTAAAGTGTTGCGCGGTCCAGTCTGCATTTGCGTCTTTTTTCTGACTGGTTATTTTTGAGCTGGCTAGTCCCGCCCCGCATGTGCCTCTCTGCCAGTGAGTAACCAGACTCTTTCTCTGTGAAGAATTAACCAGGATGAGTCAGGCAGGCCAGGCTACCAAAGCAGCAGATGACCTTTGACCTTTTGACTGGTGCTGCACAGTAGGCTTTGGTCACTGGACCTCAGGGACCTGCTGGGGGTGTAGGGACTGTCAAATCACTTAATATTAAAATTAACAATTAAAAAATATATAACCTATTTTCTTCAGAAAACCATTCCCAATATAGCGGAGTCTCTGACGTAAAGCGTCAGTGCGCACGTCTTCAACGGAAACACGTTTCGTTGCCCACCGGAAACACGTGACCCTTCCGCGTCCTGACTACTTCCTGGATGCTACACGTGTGAACATGGCGGATCTACAGATGAAACTTCTCCGTAAGAAAATCCAGAAAAGAAGCGAAAAGAACAAAGAGCGGAAACAGAAGCGGAGCAACGCGGATGAAGAAGAAACCGGTGAGTCGGTCCTGACCCGTTTCTGCTCATCCGGACCGCCTGGGCTAGGAAGGGATTAGAGAAGCGGCGACAGCGTGCTAATAAAGATTAGCTGTTCAAAACCGGCCCTGGTTCGGTTCGGACGTCCTAATGCTTGTCTAAATCCGTGTTTTACGGTGATCCTCATTAGGAGCTCTTCTCTCCTCTGACGGAGTTAGCAGATTATTATGACCTTTAGATTGGAGAAAACCACAGGATCATCCCTAACATGACCAGGATGTTCTGTTGGGTTTCAGTGGGATCCAACGGGCTGGAGGAAGACCAGAGGGAAGAAGCTGCTTATGAGGCCTGCTTTCAGCCTGAGGAGAACCGGGCAGAAGACCCCGCCGCAGAAGAAACGCCTCTGAAGAAAAAGAAAAAGAAGAAAAGAAAGTTAACCGAAGCAGATGAGCCTCCAGGTGAGTAGCTCACCTGCAGGAGACCGGGCTAGACTCGTTCCTGCTGGGGTTCATGGTTCTGTTTTCATTCCAGCTGAGAAAAAGAGCAAAGCGGGGAAGGAGGAGGAGGATGGAGATGTTGGATTAAATGACAAGGATGAAGCCAAAGGGGGTGGTGATGAAGAGGAGGAAGAGCCTGAACTTCCGACTGGACTAACAGGTAGGAGGACAAGACCTGGTTGCTGGTTTGAATCCCAGTTAAGAGCTAAAATGTTGCCTTCATGTGTTGCTCGTTCACCGTTTCCATGGTGATGCGGGTGTCAAGGAAGGCGAATAGACACTTGTGGTTTCCTGTTGTTGTGCACGAGGATCACTGGTGACTCCTCGTGCAGTGGGAACCATAAGGACATTCTAAAATCCAAATCTGACCCGGTTTGTCATGGTTCTGGATCTGCTGGTCCATCCACACATCTCTTATGGTCGCAACATTTGGAAGGAACTGAAGTGGTTTCAGGTGGGGCCGCAACTAGGGATCAATAAAAATCAACGAAAAACTGTGTTGGCAACACATTTCATCATCGATTTATTGTGTTGTGCAACTTTTTTGTGTCGTGGAACCTTTGAGTAACAGCCAATCTGTGCAGCTCACCTGTAGGTGACAGCAGGGCAGAGCGAGTGCTAATCTGGGTGCTGTGGAGGAAAACAGAGACCAGCAAAGACACAGCGGCAGAAACGGTCCCAAGTTTGGGATGAAAACTGCAACTACGGGCAGATTAGCTAATGCTAGCAGGTAGCAGGCTCACGATCAATTAGGGTTCAGAAAAAACACGATTGTTGTGAAACTAGGAACATCTAAACGCTACAAGCAAAAGAAAAGTTCCCATGGTCCTGTTTGTTCTTGGCTGTCTGCGCTGCGGAGCAGAGCCGCTGCAGTCAGGCTGCTGCTTTGAGTCTGCCCCATACACCGCTGCAGGATTATGGCAAGCCACTGTAGCATGTAATTCTCAAATGCAAATGTCTTTGACCATAATTTTAAGTCGATTCTTGCTAACCCGTACATAATAGATATGTCACCATTAATTACCGAACATGTTATGAAAACATAAGACTTTACTGATCACAGTTATGGATGTGTTTAGGTGATGGCATGTTGAACTGTTTTCTAATCATGTTTTGTTGTTCAAGTAAAGGAAAGAATGAAAAAATGTTTCCCTAGATGTTCTTAAATCTTCCCGTTTAATCCGATTAATCGAGTCGAGACCCCTTCCGATTCATCGATGATCCAGATAACAGTTTGTTGCAGCCCTAGTTCCAGATAAAGATACTGGAATTCTCTGCAGGAATTCCAGGTGCTGGGAGATGACCTGGGGGTATTCCTAGAGCAGCTGAAGGAATGATGTATCCTATCTAGTCTGGGAATACCATAGGATTTCCCAGATGGAGTTGAAACGCGTTGCTGTGGGGACATCCATCTGGATTTCCTTCCCAGGCTCCACAGCCTCACCATGGATGATGGAAGGAGAAGAATGGATGTTACCATGGAGACAGACTTGTCTGGTGCTGATGCTGTTTGTTGAACCTGTTTCAGGAGCGTTTGAGGACGTGGCCTTCTCTTCTCTCGCTGAGTTAGTGAGTGAGAACACGCTGAGGGGGGTGAAGGAGATGGGCTTCAATCACATGACTGAGATCCAACACAAAACCATCCGCCCCCTACTGGAGGGGAGGTGAGTCACCTGCTCTGTCTGGAGAAAATGCAGGCGTCCCGATTCCAGACTTCCCCACAGTGGTGTCCTCGGATGTCATACCAGTGATGTCATGTTGTTTTCCTGCAGGGACATTCTGGCTGCTGCTAAAACAGGAAGTGGGAAAACTTTGGCCTTCCTCATCCCATCTATTGAGCTGATTTACAAACTCAAGTTCATGCCCCGGAACGGTGAGTTTCCCCTCAGATCCTTTTCCATCTGCAAACTTCCACAACCGATTCCCTGATCTGTGCTGCTGCAGGCACCGGCGTGGTGATCCTGTCTCCCACGCGTGAGCTGGCGATGCAGACATATGGGGTCATGAAGGAGCTGATGGCCCACCACGTGCACACGTTTGGTCTCATTATGGGGGGCAGCAATCGCTCCGCCGAGGCCCAAAGGTTGGCCAACGGAGTCAACATCCTGGTGGCCACGCCGGGTCGTCTGCTGGACCATCTGCAGGTGAGCTAGCATGTTAAAAATGTTTCTAGATGAAGGTTCTGCTGTTACCATCCTGGTTCTCTCTGCAGAACACTCCCGGGTTTATGTACAAGAACCTACAGTGTCTGATCATCGATGAGGCCGACCGGATCCTGGAGGTGGGCTTTGAGGAGGAGCTGAAGCAGATCATCAAGCTGTTACCGAGTACGTCATGACTCCAGTTCCCATAATGCACCTGTTCTTCCTCAGCTTTCTTCTCGTGTGACCTGGCATGTGTTCATGGGAGGGATTTATCTCCAGGTGTCCCAGAGGTGCTCAGCTAGTGTTAACGATTGGAGCAAGGCATTGTGGGAATCTTGTCTGATAGTTATTCCAGCGAGATGTGAAGCTCCTGTTTTCTTGAGGTCCTTCAGCCTCAGCTCTCTGCAGGCTCTTTTGTCATCTAGATGTTTGTGTTTGTGACCCGGCTGATGTGTCTCCTGTAGAGAAGAGACAGACAATGCTGTTTTCGGCCACTCAGACTCGGCGGGTGGAGGATCTGGCTCGGATTTCCCTGAAGAAGGAGCCGCTGTACGTCGGCGTGGACGACAACAAGGATAGGGCCACGGTGGACGGCCTGGAGCAGGTAGGGTCTCCCACAGGATAAATGCTGGTTCCTGATCACCTGGTTCTGATCGGTGCCGGGTTCTGTTCAGGGCTACGTGGTGTGTCCGTCAGAGAAACGCTTCCTGCTGCTCTTCACCTTCCTGAAGAAGAACCGTAAGAAGAAGCTGATGGTGTTTTTCTCCTCCTGCATGTCTGTGAAATTCCACTACGAGCTGCTGAACTACATCGACTTGCCCGTCATGGCGATTCATGTGAGCGCTGGGTTCCAGGTTTACTCCGAGCGGGTCGGCTCTGCAGAACCAGCTGGTTTTAAGATGCTTCCTGTTTTCTCTCATAGGGCAAACAGAAGCAGACCAAACGGACCACCACCTTCTTCCAGTTCTGTAACGCAGACTCGGGCATCCTGCTGTGCACGGACGTGGCGGCCCGAGGCCTCGACATTCCCGAGGTGGACTGGATCGTCCAGTATGACCCGCCAGACGACCCAAAGGTCTGTGAGTGGTTTCAGATGGTCCAAATGCCCTGACTGAGACTCGGGTTCTGACGTCTCTGTTTGTCCTCAGGAGTACATCCACAGGGTGGGCAGAACCGCCCGCGGCGTCAACGGCAGGGGCCACGCCCTCCTCATCCTACGACCTGAAGAACTCGGCTTCCTGCGTTTCCTCAAACAGGCCAAGGTGATGCCCCAAAACATTAGAATTCCAGTTTTTGTCTTACTTCCTGTTCGGCTCCATAAGGTTTCCTCCTGCATGTGTGTTCCTCAGGTTCCTCTGAGCGAGTTTGAGTTTTCCTGGAGTAAAATCTCAGATATCCAGTCCCAGGTAAGAATTCAACTTCCAGTTACTCTTGGATGTGTCGTGATATGGATCTGCTCCAGGACTCTGATCTGAGAACCCTCTCTTGTTCCTCAGCTGGAGAAACTGATCGAGAAGAATTATTACCTTCACAAGTCGGCGCAGGAGGCCTACAAGTCGTATGTGAGGGCATACGACTCGCACTCACTCAAACAGATCTACAGCGTGAACACGCTCAACCTCCCCATGGTGGCGCTGTCCTTCGGATTCAAAGTCCCTCCGTACGTGGACCTCAGTATCCTTCACTCTGTGGGTTTGTGGATGTGCAGATGGTGGATCACAGGGTCTCCAGGTATTTTGAGAACGACCCAAGTTCTGCTTTTCATCAGCTTCTGTGTTCTTAGATCTTTGTCAGGTGTTTCCATGGTTACTGAAGCGGAATTACAGCATCTCATGTTTCAGAGGCTTTTGCTGATAATTAAGTCCACATCTCCATCGTTGGTCCTGCCAGACCTCTGAAGTCCATCCTGATCTCCAGATCCTGATTAATGGAGCTCATTCTTCATCAGCGCTGCATTGGGTCCCCCTTTTTTTTTTTTTTTTTTAAGTCTTTGGTGTGGCCCTGCCAAGATTTAAAGCCTGATCTCTCAGTCCCAGGGCTGTGGTTATTGGTGTGGTCCAGTGAAAAATCATATTTAATGATTATCTCTGATCCTGACGGGTCACTCTTGAGTGTTTCATGCAGGCTGAACATGAAAATGGTCTCCTACAACTATCTGCTGCATTAGCTTCTGACAGAAAATAAATGGTCAGACACTAGGATGTGAAAAACCTGACAGATCTGCGTCACACTGTCAACAACGTTCATGGACTCACCCATCTTGCCTCACGACGAGGAAGGCCGTTGTTGGTTTAGCGTCCAGGAAACAGCAGAGAACGCCTTGCTAGTAGAAGCTAACTGTTAGCATTAGCATCTCCACTAGGGCTGAATGATTTTAGGTAAAGATTGAATTGGGGTTTTTCTGGGAGTGATTTCAGTTCAATTCACAATTTTCTTCAAATCAAGGTTCAACACATTATGCATAAAACAATGCTGAGATAAAACAGCAACGTTACAGAGCAAATGGAGGCAGTGATGGTCGTGTTGCTGTTAGCCAATCAGAGGAGAGAAGTCCTGATAAAAAGAAAACGTGCTGTCAGAAGCCACTTCCTCTTTCAGCTGACTTCTACCCCGCCACACACACACACATACACACACACACACATACACACACACACTAGAGACTACCTGCAAATGTATGGATTAAATAAGTGAATTGCATCATTAAAAAAAACAAATTTTTAATAAATAAAAAAAATGTCGGAGAATGTTTCCTTGACCTTTTCCTCAGACGTCCACAGCAGTAAAGGTGTGAAAATGCAGAAACGAGGTGGAGGTGGCGGCTTTGGATACCAGAAGTCGAAAAATGTGACAAAATCTAGAATCTTCAAGCACGTCAACAAAGGAAGGAGTGATAAGAGGCAATTCTCCCGCTGAGTGTCCTCTGTTATCCCGGGAATTCCTCTTTTCCATCAGGAGTTGGACTTCGGTTCCCTTTGTGGCCTTTCCTGTAAATGTTCTCCTGTGTCTCACCCGTCTGACTTCCATATTAACCCTGAAAATTTATAATAAAGGACTTGAACAACATTGGTTTCAATTTTATCTTTTATTTGCAAAAACAAAAAGTTATATTCCGTAGTTTATCAGAGCTCTGATGCACCAGAATACAGTGTTTCCCTGTAAATGATCAAAAATAAGCACAGGGCATGTGAATGCAGTTTAAAACTGTTAACCTGTGGTTTTTATGGCGGATTCTGAGCAACAGTTAAATAAAACACTCGGTAATCTCTTACCTGGTAGAAAGTAATCGCTGTAAACTCCAGCGTTGTCCGTTTCTTCTGCTTTGTTTTTTAAGTTCTTTGTGGCATGCAACATTCAGGACTTACACATTATACTTTGTCCTGATCAGAGTGATGGTAATAAATGTAGACCACATAGAATTTCACCATTTAACGCCCGGTCACCAAAGCAAGGTTTTGAGCAGCGCCGGCTACTTCCGGACCCCCATCTGCGTTCGGTTACGTAGGTGCAACGTCATGTGTAACCCATCACAAACAGCTATATGGTCTGTGTAAACACAAAACAATTTCTCTACAATCTTAGTTTCAAAACAACGTGAAATGGGTAGGTCAGTTGTTTAATCCTGAGGGACTTCTAGTCACATATGAAGAACTTCTTAGGAAATATAATATCCCTGTAACTCCTGGAGATTATGCAAAAGTTTTTGGTGCCATCCCACCTGGTGTGTGTGTATGCTGTTTAAATACCGAGTTGATGCTGGTGAACTTACTCTATTATCCCCAAGTGACACACCTGTACTTTGTTTCTCCAGTTTTCCTACCAATAACAGATCCATCCGAGCTTTGTTCCAGGGAAATATTACAACATGCCTTATCTTACTGGAATACGTGTGTGAATGATATTCTGTGGGAAAAGGTCTGGCTGCTACCTGATAGATATATGATTAATAAAGTAAAAGAAATATCCTTTAAACTTCTTCATAGATTCTATCCAGTTAAATCTTATATTAAATATAGATTCAAGAAAGATATTGACTTGAACTGTAGCTTTATTTTGGCACTGCCTGGCAGTTAAAACCTTATGGCAGAAACTTTGTGATTTTATTCACGTCCATGTTGTTACTAATTGACACCAGCAGGACAACGAAACACCCCGAGAACAGACCAGCAGATCAGAACCGGTTTGAAGCAAACATGTCTTCCTTTTCTTTTTGTCTCAACAAAAAAGGGAAAGCAAAAAGGCATGAGAATCACAGAGTCCCAACTCCAAAACCGTCTCCAAAAAGCTGGAGAGCAAGAACAAAGAAGTTAGAAAAAAAGGTTATCCAAAAATCCAAATCCCTGTATGGGGTGCCATTTGTAAAGTCAAACAGTCATAATCTAACAGCAATATTTTTGGTTATTTAGCATATCATAAGAGAAAAAATTGGGAGTTCACTTTTTCGAAGTCATATTTTCACCATGTTATTCATACATTTATAAATGTTAAAGTTTCCAAATAAATATTTAGTTAGCAAGCTAAATATTTAATTTGCAGTTAAATATTTATTATGCAAACTAAATATTTAGTCCTGATCTAAATATTTAGTTTGTAAAATAAATATTGAATTCACTAACTAAATATTTAATTTACTAATTAAATATTTTGTAACTAAATATTTAATTTGTAAATTAAATATTTATTTTCCGAAAAAAGATATTTAGATCCCAGCTAAACATTTAGTTTGCAAAATCAGTATTTGGGAAAGAAATATTTAAGTCTGACCCAAAAATATAAAATATAGTGTGGAGCTAAATAACATCGTGGAAAAATAAATATTTAGCTGGTACTTAAACATTTAGCTAATATGCAAATTCGCTTGCCAATAAGCGGAAGTTGGTTACCAAAATAAAAGCTGGATCTTGCCAACCTCTTTATTAACTCTTGCTCCAAACCAGAACGTGTTTATCTCCGGTTCTATTCTTCTTCAGCCAATATGTCGGACATGTTCAGAAGAATTGAACTGGAGATAAAACAAGTTCTGGTTCGGAGCAAGAGTTTATAAAGTTAGAGAGATCCAGCTTTTATTTTGGTAACCAACTTCCGCTTATTGGCAAGCAAATTTGCATATTAGCTAAATGTTTAAGTACCAGCTAAATATTTATTTTCCACGACGTTATTTAGCTCCACACTATATTTTACATTTTTTTGATTCAGACTTAAATATTCATTTCTAAAATACTGATTTTGCAAACTAAATGTTTAGCTCCAAAATAAATATTTAGCTGGGATCTAAATATTTAGGAAAATATTTAATTTACAAATTAAATATTTAGTTCCAAAATAAATATTTAATTAGTAAATTAAATATTTGGTTAGTGAATTAAATATTTATTTTACAAACTAAATATTTTGATCAGACCTACATATTTATTTGCAAAATAAATATTTAACTACAAATTAAATATTTAGCTTGCTAACTAAATTGTCATGTTCTGCGGGTGGAGGTGGCAGACCATGTGTGGTGGTAGGTTCCAGGAGGCAGAAGATCAGGCAGACGGATGTAAAAAATAAAAAGATGTTTATTGTAGGACGGGAGCAACAGGACGAACGAACATGTACAAGCGACAATGAACCGACAAAGACAGTAACAAGGAGGGAGGTATAAATACACAAGGGAATCAGGAACACATGGGCAGAGTAATCAGGGACAGGTGAGACCAATTAGGCTAATCAGGGCAGGAGAGACACAGTCAGGGAGGCTGGGGCGGATCATGACAGTACACCCCCCCTTAAGGGGCGGATACCAGACGCCCACAAGCCACAGAGCACAGGAGACACAGGGATGAACGAAGACCAGACTAGGGCACACAAGACCAGGGAACATGGAAGACGAGACCAGGGAACAAACACAGTCCAGGGCTGCAGAGCAGGGGCCTCTAAGAGTAGGCGTCACTCCGTCTTACGACCAACAGACGTGTCCAAGAACTTAGACCAGGGAAACCCGGACTCGAAGACTTGGGACTCGAACACTTGACTCGGCTGGACACGAGGGACTCTCGAACACTCGGCTGGACACGAGGGACTCTCGAACACTCGGCTGGACTTGAGACACGAACACTTGACTCACGAAGACTTGACACCAGGAACACTGAGACAAATGGCAGCAGCAGGCGTGGGACCCAGCAGGAACTGCAGCAGCAGGCTTAGGCCCCAGCAGGAACTGCCGCGTGGAGAACCTGCAGGCACAGAACCCGCAGGCGTGGACCAGGAAATGGTAGAGCAGCGGGAGCGACGGGCGGAAGCCCAGCTCGGCGGCATGTACTCGACATCCCAATCAGAGCAGGTGCACATCCCGATCTGCTGGGTCCATCGGCGGAGGCTCGGGAGAAGGGAAGCCGGAGAAGAGCGGGGAGACCAGCCCTACCACACCGGAGAATAATGGCGTGCGTAGAGGGTGTAGCTCCCTTGAGGCTCCAGGATCCACCGGAGAATAGCAGGGAGACCAGCCCTACCACACCGGAGAACAATGGCGTGCGTAGGGGGTGTAATTCCTTTGAGGCTCCAGGATCCGCGGCTTCCAGGAGACGAATGGGACGGGGCGAAACAGCAGGAGGAGAATGACACTGGCCACCCCGAAGACAAATAGGATGCGCCAGGATGCGCCAGGATCTCCCAGAGGAACTTCGAGCTACCCCGAGAACAGGTAGGATGCGCCGAAAACACAAACTTCAGGCCAGAAATCTCCCACAACTGAAAGGGACAAAAAAGAAAAAATAATCCTCCAGGAGCAGGTGTTAGCTCACCACAGGTCCAGGTTTGGTCGGTTCATTCTGCCATGTTCTGCGGGTGGAGGTGGCAGACCATGTGTGGTGGTGGGGTCCAGGAGGCAGAAGATCAGGCAGACGGATGTAAAAAATAAAAGATGTTTATTGTAGGACGGGAGCAACAGGACGAACGAACATGTACAAGCGACACTGAACCGACAAAGACAGTAACAAGGAGGGAGGTATAAATACACAAGGGAATCAGGAACACATGGGCAGAGTAATCAGGGACAGGTGAGAACAATTAGGCTAATCAGGGCAGGAGAGACACAGTCAGGGAGGCTGGGGCGGATCATGACATAAATATCTATTTGGAAACTTTAACATTTATAAATGTATGAATAACATGATGAAAATATGATTTCGAAAAAGTGAACTCCCAATTTTTTCTCTTATGATATGCTAAATAACCAAAAATATTGCTGTTAGATTATAACTGTTTGACTTTACAAATGGCACCAGTGCACAACAGAGCCTGGAATATGAAGGGGAGAGATCAGATGGAGCCAGTCACACTATTTGCAGGAGTGCAGGAGGAGCCAGAAGGCTGCTCATGGCAAACAGCCTTCAGCCATGACACTAATTTTGTTATATTTTGGGAGAATGTGCTGTTAAGGTCTTTTTGAAATTGGTTTGAACAAAAACTCTCTATACATGATTAACCTCTTAATTTTGATGGCGAAATTGTATATCCATTGTTGTAAATATTCTGGTAAAAAAAACATGCTTTGCAGCATTCTTTAATACTTTCAAACGATACATATTTTCTATTAATAATTCTAAAAGACAGAAGGCTCTTAAAACTACTGAAAAATGGAAACTTTTTAATATTTTCATTGGAATACCAATACCCCTATTATGATCTAGCATTATTATTATTTTATTTTTTGTAATTATTATTATTATTATTATATTTGTTTACATTATTTTATTTTTTATCTTTCTATCTTCTTCCTTTCCATCCTCTTTTTCCTGCTAGGCATTCTTCTAGATATAAGATTCACATTGTAACTGTTACCAAAGCTCATGTGTGTATTTGTGAATAACTTCAATAAATAAAATAAATAAATAAAAAAGCTATCGCAAAGTAACTAATCACGTGACAAAAACTTTAAATGGCCCTGTCCATTGAAGCCGCGTTCAAGGCTATGGGAAAACAGAGCATCACTACGGATTCCCCAGTAATGATGTTGATTCGTGTTTTTGTATTTTCATATAAATATTTGATACAAATGCATCTTTATAGGTGGGTTAATGTGGGACTGTTTAAATTTGTTATATTTAAAGAGCAAGTCACCCCCTACAAGAAACTTACTTCACTCCCTCTTCATGTTTGAAAAATGCAACAAATGCTGTTGCCTGGCAGACCGAGAGGGCGGAGCCGCTAACAAATACACACACACACAGGCTCACAATGGCATTGTGACATCATAAGGACCAGTTGACATCATAGCATACCTCTTAGCCAATAGCGGTGGCAGATTTAAATTCTAATGCAGTGCTGAGTTTTTACCTGACAACGGCACAACACTGACAGTTTTAGGCAGAAAATTAAAATTTTAACTAAAATGCACTAAAGTACAAAACTATTAACTACACGTGTCCGCAGCACGATTAGACACACATTTATATAGTTTATCAGAAAATAAAGTTGATTTGGAGGTGACTTGCTCTTTAAATTGTTCGCCGCGAAAACGTGCCATGGTGTTCAGTTTACGAGCAGACCTTAAACGCAGCAGATGTAAGTTTGGAGCAACTGACAGAAAACAGGCAAACATCGAGTCCTCATAAAGTTATCGTGAGTAAAGTTTTCTCTATATTTTAATGTCACAACAATGTTTAATGTCGTTAAAATGTTTGTCACACAGTTTGGTACGAGAACGAAACTGCGTTTAGCTTTTATCTCTGGAAATTCGCGTTAGTGTCGTGACTAATAAGGAGCTTCTCGGGAAATTCGTTGCATTTCCTCTCCTGTAACGACTTGATTCGTTTGGCTAAGCTAGCAGTTGTGCTCGTTATTTAGCTTTACTCTGAGGTGGTCGGGGCTCTAAAACCGATTAGTTTCGTTTGTGTCGGTCTGAATAACGGGTACCCGTTTTCTCCTGCCTCCACGGGCTCGGCCAGACGTTTATTAACGGTTTACTAACTGCACGTCACAAACGGTGTCAGAAGTGTTAATGTAAGATGAATATATATGTTTTTATAAACCTTTATTAACAAAAATAGAATATACAATGTGACAATGAGGCTACAAGATCACAGTTGACAACGTATAAGAAAAGTGAGATGTGCACAAAAATGAAAAGAAAGTGCCAGGGGGATATAAAAAGGTGTGTGTACAGAAAAATAGTGATTACAGTAGCATATATCTAGAGAGAACATCAACAGCGCATGCACATAAGGTATGTTAATTTTGTAGGAACTATATTGTCAGTCTATGTTTCGTGACACCGGCGGAGTGATACACTCAAGAGACGGGGCTGTTCGGTTGTTTTGTTTAAAAAAAAAAAGAGAGAGAGAGAGAGAGAGAGAGAGAGAGAGAGAGAGAGAGAGAGAGAGAGAGAGAGAGAGAGAGAGAGAGAGGAGTTGGTTGCGGTTCTGATAACCAGGTGGCCCGTGTTGTTTTCTTCCAGTTTTCTCTACCCACGACCCTCGTGATTTAGGTAACATTCGTCTCACCCGGAGTGTTACACTGTTTTTATATAGAAAAAAAAAATAGAGAAGAAGAGGGAAGAAACCAACACGGGACACCTGGTTATCAGAACGGCGAACAACTCTTCCCTCTTCTCTTTTTTAAACAAAACAACCGAACAGCCCCGTCTCTTGAGTGTATCACTGCGCCGGGTACACTCAACATAGATTGGCACTATAGTTCCTACAAACTAGCATATCTTATGTGTATGTACGTAACTGCTTTGTGCTGTTCATAATAACAAGTCTTCGTCTTACTCTAACCGGAGGATCAGACGGTTGGAGGTGAGTACCGTAGAGTTCTGACGTCATTACCCGTTCATCCAGCAACTACGGCTCCCTCTGCGGGTCGGGACCTCGCATAGAACAGACTTTATTGGTCACACAGCGGAGAAATCCACTTGTTACAGCAGCACCAGCACTTCAGGGAATAATTTGAGGAAAAATAATATCAAAGTTACATGTATATATTATATGGGGGTGTTGTGCCAAAAGATGCGTCCCTGCTGAGATGGGCTTTTCAGTTCCACTGATCTCGTGTCCTTTGGGAGAAGTTTAATCCATCAACTGTTGTAAACGTGTGTGGCACAGATTATGACCTCACAAAACTAACTACACCAACCGACCTTTGTGGGCAAGTTTCAGAGTTTAGAAGAAGGATGGGCCACTCCGGTCCTCCAGCACGTTTTAGTTGTTTCCCAGCTCCAGCTCTCCTGACGTTAATCAGCAGGGGATAAACAGGCTCCTGCAGGGCCAGGTGAGCTGCTGAACAGGCGATTCAACCAGTGAATCAGGAGCGTTGAAGCAACGAAACACCTGAAAAATGCGGGATACTGCCCCGAGGACTGGGGTTTCCCATCCCTGTTATAAATAATCCAGACCTCTTCCGAACAGCCTGTGTTCTGAGAAATGGTTTCTGTCTCTCAGGACTGATGAGTTAACAGCTGGTGTGAGTGGAGACCAAAGATTGTTTCTGTTGTAAATCAGCTCTAGTCGCCTAAACATCCAGACGTTATTTAATAATAATAATAATAATCAATGTTTACTCCGTTTCACATCACATGGAATTCCATATTAGGAAGCAGGAATAGCAGCAGCTACATGCAGCTACTAATCTAGAGGTTGAGTCCAGCAGGAGCTTCCTACAACTTAAAACAATAGTAAACCATAAAACTTACAAGGTGAGCTAGCTCACCTGAGCTGAGAAGAATCTAGAATAGAATAAACTCTTATTATAAATCTTAGTGTTACACAGCTCTTATAGCAAAATGAAAATAGAATAGAGCACAAAGTAACTTGTGTACCTAACCCTAACCAATACATTCTATATTTACAGAGAAATGCATAAAATGTACAAACGCGTATGAAAGTGTACAGAGATATGAACACAGGTGTGGTGTGTGAGTGATCCAGGTGAAGGAAACTACTGCAAAAGGAATAATAGCAACCAGGTGATGCATAAATAACTAATAACTAAACTGTAGAGTCTGACAGCTGCTGGTAAGAATGGCCTCCTCATACATCTAACATGTATGAAGATCTCCGCTGCTCTTGAACAAACTGAGATTTAACTGTGGCTCTGCTCGTTGTAGAAGATGTTCCAAGGAAGCTGAAGGATGCCGGGAGTGGGCCAGAGTAATCCCAGTCTGTGGACCTGGCTGCCTCAGAGCAACCAGTCTCCATGTGACCGCTACAGACACGCCTGCTGCAGCTACAACGGAGACGTGTACTTGCTGGGTGGTAGAAACAGTGGCTGGCTCGGGGACTTCTGGAAGTACAACGTGGGTAAGACTGGCCTCTCAGCTAAATACCTCCTTCCCACCGGCTGCAGACTCGACCCAGGACTGAACTGGTGAACTCTAAATGTTCAGATTGGAAAAGTTATGAGCAGGAAGTGTCTTCCCTGCTGAGATGGCTTGTTGAGCAGCCTCAGTAGGAGATATGGAAGCAGGTTTATCTCAGGTGTTTCTGCAGGTTAGAAGCTGCTGCTGCGCTCACCTGTCCATGTCACAGGTTCAGGTGTGTTTTCCATGGAATAACATCCGGATCCGTGTGCGTGTCACCTGTTAGTTGCAGCCTCTGGCATGTTTGGCGTTAACAGCAGCCTCAGTTTGGGGAAATGGAGATTAGTGCTGACTGAACTGACGAGCTAATATAATCTAAAGTGTCCTGTGGATCAGGTCCCATCGTGGCTGGGTTCTGTCCTGGATCTGGGACTACAGATGTGTGTGTTCTGTGTTTTATTTAGTGTGTAATAAGTGGACACAGTTGAGCTGCACAGGAGAAGCTGCACCAGAGGAGCTGGAGCAGCATTCCATGGTCGCGCATAAGGTAAAACTCCCGGATCTCTCGATGTTCTGCTGTTCCAGAACCACACAGTTTAACAGCTCCCGCCTTTTCAGGGGTTCCTTTATGTGTTTGGAGGACTGTTGGACTCAGCGTCTACCATGAGCAGATGTGCCTTCTGGGTGTTTGACGTGGGTGAGTTTTACCTCGGAGCTGCTTGTCAGGCGTGTTCCACGCTGAGTCCAGCCTCAAAACATTCATCACCGCTTAGGAAGGGTTAGAAATCCACAAACCCTGGAAATAATCAAGATGAGACAGAAAATATTAGTTATTAGAAGGAAACGCTGCACTGCCTGAATCCAGGCCCTCACTGGGCCGACAAACCCTATTCCCTATGGAGTTTCTGAAATTCCTCTCATGACTAGCCGGTCCTTGTTTTTCTGTCACTGGAAGAGTGAACATGTGGCAAAGATCTGCAGATAAATCTCCCCTAAAGTCATCTCAGAGTCATCCCTGGCATCTAGGACCCGTTTAGATCCCGTCTGAGAGGGTAGCTAATTCCTGGGCTGAGTTATTGTCCCGGTCCGTCCCTGACACTCACCCCCCCAACTTTCTAACCATTCAGCTAGCAGTTAGCATTTTGGTTGTACTCAGCACTCTGGCTCTCCACAGGGTAGTGTTAACGCTGTAGTGTTAGAGGCTTGTTTCAGTCGGTGTTGGAGTCTTTAAAGCTAAAACCACCTTAAAGAATATAAATATGCACTTTGTTTGGTGCACTAATATCGAAGCTGTGAGTCGTCACACGTCAGGATGCAACTATAGGATGGCTATTCCGTCATTTTTCTCAAAATACCATAATTTTAGGATCCAGGGAACTCATTCATCAAACGTTCATAGAACGAAATTTAGAATGTTTTCCGAACGGTCCAAATCCTGAAATTCTGAAACGCTCTCGCACCACGTTCCTCCGCAGTCGTCTGATGATCAATCCCACCTGTGCATACCCAGGTGCTCGTGTCCATTGTTATTCACAGAAACAACCTAATTTAACCATATTTGGCAACACCACGGCAATCCCGGCGTTTTTCTAAAAAAAACAAGAAAACTTTATTCACAGCAGTGTGGAGACACTTGCTGGCGAAGTGCGAAAGAACCAAACAAGTTGCAGAGGTTGTAAAGGCGGTCGTGACAGAGGAGAGGCTCCCATGAGGATTAAATAGAAACTTTAATCTGATAACGTAACAGGTTGTCGTTTACATTTACGTTCTGGGTGGAGTTTTATTTGGAAATGTCTGAGAGTGCAGCCTCGTAGCTGTCGTCCCTCTAGTTACTATGGCAACTTGTGTGTCGTCGGGGAGAAGAGGAGGTTCTGGGGGTTCTCGTAGTTGTAAAATACATTTGTGTTTCTCCATAACGGGTCCCAAACCACAGCCAGTCAGAATCGGGTCTGCGCTCACAGACGACGCGTTTATTCCAGAGAGAAACGAGACAAGGTCAGCCATTCAGTTGTCTTTTATAGGTTTTAATGCTAACCATGTGACACATGTTTTTCCACTGAGTAATTAGTTATTGGGTGAATGGATGAATGGATGAGGATCATGTGTGGACGACTGAGACCTTCAGTACTGCGGTGCCCCCGTTCTACCACTAGATGCTGTTCCTAAGCACGGTCAGAGCTGTTCTTCTATTTAGGAACATTTCCACACACGTGTACAAAGTGTTAGTTCCTACACACACAACAGTACAGTTAATAAATGAGGCCCGGGTACGACACAGCTAGCAGCGCTGAAGAGAGGCTGCAGCGGAGACCTGGAACTAGAACCACTTTGGGCTGTTCTTACGTAGCAACACCAATAAAACCTGGTCAGAACCCGCGCTAGCATCAGCTAGCCTGATAAAAACCACCACAGCACACAGACCCGAGGTAGTAGTACCAGAACCAGTCACATCCTGGAGCTTTATCTCAGCTCCGGACCCAGTTCTTATTTGGTTCTAACTTACGTTTTACTCTGATTTGTTCTTGTGTTTCAGTGAAGCAGGAGTGGGTCCAGTTTCAGGAAAAGGCCATCCCCCTTCAGGTACACGCCTCTCCTAGAACCACGAGAACACAGAACTTACAGAACGGTTCTGTGTTCATTCGTCTTGGTTAGAACCCGTCAGAGGGAAGCTCCTCCCTCCTCACTCCAGTTGGGGTTTCTCAGATGTTAGAGGAGAACTCAGAAAGATCCTCCTGACAAAGAGGAAGTCCAGGTGGATTTCTGCCACAAGCAGGAAGTTGTGGGTTCTGGGACCATCAGGATCCAGGAGGACCTGGACTGTTGGTTCCTGGATGAGTCCCTGGGAAACCCATAGATCGGGTCGGCAACCTGTTCCCATCAAAGAGCCATTATTACCCGTTTCCCACAATAAAGAAAACACTGGGAGCCACAGCAGCCGCGGCGTTGTGGGCGGGGCCTACCCTCAGACAGCAGAGCTGCTCACAACAGGTGACAGCAGCCGGTACCGGTCGCTCGTGTACATCAAAGTTATCTTTCATAAGACGATAATCAATAAAACGAGTTATATAAAGTGGATCCAGAAGTTGTAGCCCGTCTCTGCTACAATATTTAGATATTTTTCACCCTGTTGGTGGTTTTACTGAGCAGGTGCCACTTTTGTCATACGTTTCTTTTAAAACATGTTTAGACTGTTCAGAATACAAATCCAGGCTCTGTCACATTTGATTGTTGTAATTAAACTTTGTAGGTGGGGAAGGTCAGAAAAGGATCCGATCATTTTGTTTTTCCCTCATTTACAGTGATGGAGATAACGGCGCAGTGCGCCTGGCTCTGGTGTTAATCAAGTTTAATTTGTAACAATTTTCACAAGAAAACAGAACAGTTAAAAGCAGGGCTTGTGTTGTGTTGACCGGACAGTTCCCGTATTTGACCGTTTATTTTGACGGAGAAAGAATAGAAAGAATTACCCCGACGCATGCAGACGAACTGACACTTTATTCTACGCACATCGCAGATGTAGCTAAATTACTCAAGAAATGATTCCCATCTGAACATCTGAGCTGGACACTGCTCAGTGCAGCTCACTGTCAGTGCGTACGTACGGTGCACAGTGAGCTGAAGATGTGGAGAGGGGCTTGGAGCACGTCGCAGAACCAGAGCGCATGCAGGAAGATTCCTCCGACTGAAGCGAGACTTGTCACTTAGAAAATGTTCCCTGATGATGAAACTTTGGCTGAATAGTGCTTGTTCCTGTCTCCAATGTGGCGACACATCCTGGAGCTGTCTGAGGAGAATCCCAGAATCTCACATCCTCTTCAGCTCAGAAAGCGCTTATAGAGACATTTGATTACGCACAAGCGTGACGCGTCAATCGTTGGAACTGTTCAGGTTTACGCAGACAAACTTTACATTTAGATCTGGCTTACAGATAAGCATGAATGCAGTAAAATAAATATATTTTATTTAAATATCCATCCATTATTGTACAAGCACAGAGAGCCGACCCCTGCCATAGATGATGGTGTTATGAGTTAACATGTGTGTGTGTGTGTGTGTGTGTGTGTATGTGTGTGTAGTCTCAGATGCCTAGTAACAGGAAGGGACACAGTGCGGTGGTGATTGGGTCGGCCATGCTGATCTACGGAGGACTTGTGGACATCAAAGGATCATCTGAGGAGTTCTGGAGTTTGGATTTTGGTGAGTTTTAACAGATTTTGTTATTTTAATGACCTGGAATGATTCAGAGATTTTCTGCTTTGGACCAGCTCCTGAGCAGGGGTAGACCGATGTAGGGGGTCGAGTTCCCCCCTCAGTAAAGCTGATTTACAGTCAGGCACATCCCGGACAGTCTGGTACATATTTAGGTTCTTGAATAACATCTGCATGATAAATACTATAAAATATATTTTCAACTAAAATGTCTTTTAATTGTCCCGTTTTGAATTTTTAATACTTTCCTGGTAACTCAGGAGTAAAGTTCGACTGATTTGGGTTTTTTAGTTACTGATACCAATGTCAGGGGTCATGGTCAGCTGATGGCCGATATCCAGATGTTTTCCACCTTATCTACTGGCTAACAGGTCTCTAGTGACATCAGCTGATGTGCAGAACGCCTGAAGCTGGATCAGTTTTAACGTAACCAACTGCTCAGTGTGAAAATCAGACAACTAAAGTTAAAACAATCGTTTAAAAGTTTCAACAATAAATATAATTGATCCGGTCCAGTAACGTAGGATCTGGTTCTCCTGGGTTTCATCCCAGCCTGGTTCTGGGTGTTTTTAAGAGCATGTGGAACTGACATATTTCTCTGTGATTGAATGACAGGAACCACAAATTGGTCTCAGCTGGGCCCGTCTGGGTCCTCGGGTCCTGGACCCAGACAGAGCCACTCCGCCGTGGCCTACCAGGAAGCCATGTTCCTGTTTGGTGGCTTGAGGGGTTTGCAGGAAATGCAGGACTTCTGGAAGTGGGATTCCAGCAGCGACGCGTGGACCTGCCTCAGAAGGATGTGAGTCATTCATGAAATCCTCCATGAACTGGTTTTGTTCCAGTAAGGACATCTTAGGGCTGGGTCTGTTTCCATGGCTACATGTTACAGAAAAAAGGATATTTTTAAAATGAAAGATGAACCAACAGGAAGATGAGTGAGTTTATTACATTCAGGTCTGAAACACAAACCGTTTATCCAACATTTCGCAGATCTGGAGGTTTTAGTAATCTGATTACTTTCAGGATGATTGAACTGATGAACGAGTTCATTTTAGATTCACTTCCTGGTCTCCTGCCCATAGAGACGTGGGTCTGAGGACATCTCACCAGCTAACTCATCTGGATGTCGTCCACCTCTGACGGCACCTGTGGCTCTTTTCCTCAGGTCCAGCCCCCCCCGTCTCCTGGGCCACTCCGCCGTGGTCTTCAAGGACAACATGTTTCTGTTTGGAGGCGGAGACTCTCACAACTCTACAAGCAACTTCCTGTGGAGCTACAGCTTCACCACTCAGAGCTGGAGTCAGATGCTGTCTCTGGGGGACTCCAACCCTCCAACCAAGATCCACCACTGCTGTGTGGGTCTGGGTCAGAGCTACAGCTCTGGTACCGGCAGCACCACCACGTCTGAAGTCAAACCCAGGCAGATGGGCAGGAGACTCCGTTGCTTTAAAAACAAGTGCTTCCCTCAGCCGCACACACACGGAGCAGATCTGGAGATGATGGACATGCATCTGACTTCTGGCAGAGCCAGGAAAGACCTGTTGGACCAGGAAGACGAGGGAGACTTTAGGAAGCATCTGCCTGATTCGCTGCTGGTGCTGGGAGGGAAACCGTTCACGGGCAACCGTCCCATCTCCATCTGGCAGATGACCCTCTCCTAGAAAATTCTCTGTTCAGTTTTAAACCTTTAAAGATTTTATTCACGTACTTTTATACCGTTTGTGTTTCATTTAGTCACACCACAGCTCCAGCAGGAGGCGCCAGAGACCAGAGCTAAACATCTATCCAATAGATCTACTGCAGAACCGCTCTGCAGTGCAGAACCTTCTTTAACCTGGAGAAGATGTATAAACAGAACCGATCTGGTTAGGTCTGAATGGCAGCGCCGGTACTCAGGGTTCTGTCGGGTTTTTACTCCACAGCCGAAGTGGCAGAAGGATTGTCACCCAGTCTCAGGATGAAGCTGTGTGTGTGTGTGTGTGTGTGTGTGTGTGTGTGTGTGTGTGTGTGTGTGTGTGTGTGTGTGTGTGTGTGTGTGTGTGTGTGTGTGTGTGTCTTTATATGTTTAAGTGGACAAGTCTGAACTCTACCACGTGGACATTTCCACATTGTGGGAACATTTTGCTGGTCCACAACATGCTCAGCACCCTAAAACTTGGTTTTATAGATATGGTGTGGATTAACTGTTAGTGTAGGTTAGTTTAGGTTTGTGTGATGATTACTCAACAGGATCCCCCTGCCGCCCGATAGCTCCACAGAGTTTGGTTTGGAACCTGAAGGATTGCACGTGCACTCGTGGTCAGGTCCAACGTCATTGCTTCATGGTGTTGATGTGCATGGTCCAGCCGACATGCTGGCAGGTTGTCCTGGTGGGTGCAGTCGCTCCTTATGTCAGGAGCCAAAACGGTGCTCGGGTGAAATAGGGCCAGTGTTCCTGGTTAGGTTTAGACTGGGACTTGGAGGAGGAGGGATGTCTTTTAGGTTTGGGTCAGGTTGGGTTCTGGTCAGGTTCATGGGCCTTAGGGAAGGGGTCAGATGTATGGGTTAGGGACAATCCTGTCACTGAAATTAATGAAAGTCAATGACTGTCCTCACAATGAATAACAACGAGAATGTGTGGATGTGTGCGCGTGCGTGTGTGCGCGTGCGTATGTTTCTCCTGTAAACAAAGTTGAAGTTCAATATTCAAAACCATGAAGACGAAGTAGATATTTTTATTCCTTTTATTTTTTCCCGCGAACAAAATAAGTTCTTGTTAAACCGATTTACGAGGACGTAACGAGCATACGTCACATCCTGTCCGCTAGGTGGCGCTGTGTGACTGGTTTGTTATAACGTTTAAAGTTTTACTGAATTAGCTTTATGATATATTTATAACCACATCTGTGTCTGACGGGCACTTCTGCTCCTTTTGGAAACACTTAATCTTTCACTGAATGTTCCGACCGAACCGGACCGGTTCTGTGTTCCGAGCTGTAACGTGTTGGATCTGACAGGAAGCGGTGACTCATCCGAACCTTCTTGTTGGACTTTATAAAAAAGTCAAAGCAGGATGGAAACGCGATGCTGCTCACGGACAGAACCTCCCCGAACCCAAGTGGGTCCATCTGAGGGGAGCTGGCTCTGAAGAAGCACCTAATAATCCGCCTGCAGTGGGTGGAGATCCCACGTGGTATAAAACAACTTTTGGCGTGCAGGGCCACTGCTTGTGGTGACTCAGGAACAGGGTCTGCAGCATCTTACGGAGCGCACGAGAACCGAGCATCCAGAGCCGCGCGCACCGGGAACGGGACGAACTGGACAGAAGCTGCACGACCGGGTTCGGATATTTGCGGGATTTCTCGGACAGCCAGCGGCGCGTCACCGGTACGGACTCCCCAGCGCGTCTCGCACTTAGAGATGAACTTTGTTGGCGTGGAGGGAAGACGCGTACTGAAGCAGAGGGGTCCGTTCGGTTCCGGCAGCTCCTGAACGTGTGGATACAACGGTCTGAGCGGATTTCTTCTCTGGTGCTGGATGTCCCTCTTCCGGGAGACCTGCGGGGTTCTGGTCCAAGAGCGGCTGTAAGCGGACTGTGCGTCATTCTTCACACCCTCCTCCTGTCTGGTGCGAAGCTCTGAGATCATGAGCTCCTCCAGCCTGCTTCTATCGTGCCTGCTCGCGTGCGCTCTGTCCGCGCGCTGCGTCTCAGTGAGCGCCGCGGAGGCTGCCAGCTCGCCCCGGGAGTCGTGCGCGTCCTGCGGCCTCAGGTCGTCGGACCAGTCGGAGCGGGTGAACATTGACTTCGTGGAGGCGGTGAAGAGGCACATCCTGAACCGGCTGCAGATGAAGGACAGGCCGAACATCACGCACCCCATCCCGAAGGCTGCGATGGTGACGGCGCTGCGGAGGCTGCACGCGGGCAAAGTGCGCGAGGACGGCCGGGTGGAGATCCCCAGCTTCGACGGACAGGCCGCCTTCAACAACGAGGTCCAGGCGGAGACCTCAGAGATCATCAGCTTTGCAGAAACAGGTAATGATCAATAATTGATTGCGCATGTGTAAAACGAACCTCGGCTGAACTCGCCCACCCTGCAGCGCGAGAGGCAGGTGAGGTGAGAAGGTGACCCGGCAGCCATCCCGCTGCAGGCTCATCCCGTCTGGGTTATGGACACATGAGACAGCCATCGTTTTCATCCTCTCATCCGCTGCCTCTTGCTTAGTCTGATAAAGAAATCAGGGACCTTAAATTACCCCCCCCCCCCCCCCCAACTGAGTCGAAGGACCATCTGAGTTCTGTTTCATCCAACTCCATAAAGCCCTCATTTAAACACGGACAAAATCCCTTTATCGGCCGTTTATCCCTTAACACACACACACACACACACACACACACACACACACCTATAATTATCAGTGTGGCACACAGAAAGGACACAGGGAAGTAAAGGCACCAACACACCGCAGTTCTGCAGGGTTCTGCCTCGCAGGCTCGACCCGGGCAGCTTGTGACAGGGGAACAAAACCAGGCGGCTGTTTCTGCTGAACGCATCATGTCAGCTCAGAAGGAAAACGCAGGAAACAAAAGGATCTGCTTAGAATAATGCATGAGACATTTGAGTCCCAGTGGGGTTGAATCTGTGTGTGTGTGTGTGTGTGCAGGGGGGTAATATTGTGTGCCCATATTGCAGAGCTGAATGCTTTTGTCATTCTAAAGGTTCACTGGGCTCCTTTGCTGCTTCTTCTGTATTTGTTTCCAGCTCTATTCTTCTTCACACCTTTGAGCCTTTGTGTGGTATTGTACCATGGAGCTGGCGTGGGTCCCTTCTCCCCCAGACCCCATCTGCCTCCTGGCCAGTTGGCTCACGCCCCCCCAGATCCAACGCTGCCAGCCAGGGCACAGCCCAGCAGCGAGCCCTGAATCCGGGGGGTTGTTTTAGGACGAGGTGGCTGATGTTTAGCCAACAGATGGATGGAAACGAGTGTGTGTGTGTGTGTGTGTGTGTGTGTGTGTGTGTGTGTGTGTGTGTGTGTGTGTGTGTGTGTGTGTGTGTGTGTGTGTGTGTGTGTGTGTGTGTGTGTGTGTGTGTGTGGAGCACAGAGGTCAGCTTGTGTCCTCCTCTTCCTCCCCTCAGTGCCGACTGAACTCAGGCTCCTTATCTCCGGTTGCAGCAGCACAGGGGTAATGGTGCTGCCAAGCTACCCCAGGCAGGTGATGGGAGGTGATGCCAAGTTCTTCTCCTCCTCTGAAACTCACCCACGGGTCTTTGAGGGATTCGGTGTCCCGTATCCACGGGAGCGGAGCAGGGAACACAAGTGAGGACAGAAAGAGCAGGGTCGCTGGAGGAGTTCACATCAGTGATTCTCGAGTGCTGGTTTCAGCTGTTTGGACCCAGTGACCCCGCGGTCAACAAGTCCCAGTTAGGCTTCATTATCAGAGGTCATTACCAGTTCGTCCAGGGATCAGGTTGGTGGCTCCACTCCAGCAACACCAGGACTGGTGTTAGGATTCATGGCTTCTGTTTTATCAGCACCAGTTCAGCCTCTGTGAGTCCTGAAGAGCTGAGACTCGGACCTGAAGAATTTGGGTGTGCTCCAGCTGGTTTCTCTTCATTTGTCCTCATGGAGCCTCCAGCATCCACAGCCTTGTCTCTGACCTGGAGGTGCTGGTGGAGACACGCTGAAGCAGCCCACCCAGGTTATCACCGGCAAGGTCAGGCAAGGCGTGTCGGGGCCAGCTCCCGATACAGAGAGACGTTAGGGCTTTAAAGAACCTCTGCTGGAAAATGTCACTGAAAATTAAAATCAGGAAGCCATGCTCAAAGACTCAGGATATTTCTAAAGAAGACTGTTGATGAAACCTGGAATTCCAACACGGACTGTAATCGGAGCTCTGATGCGATGTAAACAGGAAGTGTAGAGAGAACCAAGGTCAACAAAAATGTTAAAGCTGCTGCTAGTGTCTCATCAGGGTCACCACCAGCTACCTCACCTGACTCACTACATCCCTCTGGTGTCTATGTGGACATTTCTACAGTTATTGGATGTTCTGAACATAGGCCTGGCAGAATCAAGTGTCTTCAAAGCTGCAGGGCATGAAAATGGACAGAAACCTCAGATTCAGGAACAGAGGAGTGACAAGATTTAAGGTTTCAACACTGAAACCATCCTACAGAGGCAAGTTTCTAAATCCACAATCATCAGGAGTCAGAATGATTTTGTTCCTGGAGACAAGTCTGAGAAAACTTGGCTGGGAGCATTAGTCAGTGCCTCCCAGCACGTCCAGGTCCAACAGAACACACCGCTGAACCCCCCGTTTACCTCACACACATCTCAAATGCCCGTTTTTCCAAGTGCTGAGCTGTCGGGGCACGTACGAGTGTGCGGCGCTAACAGAGGTGAGCTTAGTGACTTGTAGCCCTGAGGGCCAGCAGCTGATTCCCTTCAGATGGAGCCCTGCTGGTTTCCTCCCTGAGCGAGTCCCACAGGTGTTCGGTGTGAGCTGCTGGATGGGTGTAGCTGCAGGTTCCAGCTGATGCTCAGCGGAGAGCTGGTCTCAACAGGTCCGTGTGTAAATGTAAAGCTTTAGAGGAGGAAGAGGCACCTTAAGGGGTGGGGGCGTCTTTGGTGGCCACCTGTTGACGCTGACACACACTAATCAGTCAGCAAACAGTCATTTAGAGGGTCTCAAAGGCGCTGCTGGAGCACATTGTCCCAAGCCTCCTGAAATAGAAACCTTTCATGTTACCTCTGGGTCATTTGGACTCATCATTAGGCTTCTGCACAAAACAAGAGACAGAAAACAGTGGCATGGGGGGGCAGCGCCACCTTTAGACACCCAGGATCTCTTCATTGTGCTGCTGTAGAAAGTGGCCACTGTCATGTAAATGCCTCTTATTTTTGCCTCACGGTGCTTTTTGATGGAGAGCCACGCGTGTGAATGCGACGCCGCAGCGCGGCTGTGTTCCGGAGCCTCACGGGGGGCTTTGTGCTGTCACTCTCAGGGCGCTCCTGCTGCAGCGCGGCGTTCAGGTTGGCCGCTGACGGTGAACCCAGTGAACCCCCTGCCAGCTCTGGCCATGTCCACCGCCGTCCCACTGTCCCCCCCTTCTGTTCTCCTCCTTCTTCTCTTTGGTCCTGTCACTTTCAACACCAGGACATGAAGCCAACTGGGCCCGGTCCCAGAACTGGCCCGTCACGGCCGGCCTATCAGGAGCTGCCTGCTGAGGTCACCTGACACAGCAATTGAGAGTGAACAAATAAACAAATCTTTAAGAACAAAGCTGTGTGTGTGTGTGTGTGTGTGTGTGTGTGTGTGTGTGTGTGTTCAGCGTGAGCTCATCGTGTTCTGCCCGGGCTACGTAGAGAGGATGTAGCTCTGAGGGAGGCAGTTCTGTTGGTCATCAGGCAGGTCTGACCCAGGTCCAACGCTCAGATGCACACCCGGTGCATTATGGGATGGCGTGAGCCTGTGGTCTGATGGTTTGGACACCAGGGGTTCTGATAGGGTTAAAGGGGATGTTGCTGTGACCTGTAGAACCTCCTAAAGATGGCCGAGTTCTGTTTGACACGTTAACCTGATCAGACCTTTTTCTGTTTGTCTTCAACAGATGAGCTCACGGACCCCAAATCGGGTTTGTACTTCCTGATCTCCAACGAGGGCCACCAGAACCTGTTTGTGTCCCAGGCCAGCCTCTGGCTCTACTTCCGCCTGCTGCCAGCTGGTCCTGAGAAGGGTCTCCGCAGGAAGATCACAGTCAAGATCCACTACCAGGAAGCCACCACTCTGAGCGGTGCTGAGGGGAGTCCGGGAGGTGGCAGCGTGGGAACAGGTCGCTGGGTTCTGGTGGAGAAGCGGGTCGATCTGAAGCGCAGCGGCTGGCACACTTTCCCACTCTCTGAAGCGGTGCGAGCAGTGTTTGGGAAGGGCAGCAGGAGGCAGGACCTGGAGGTGCACTGTGATGGCTGTGAGGCAGCTGGCGTGGCTCCGGTTCTGGTGGACCCAGGCGACCCATCCCACAGACCCTTCCTGGTGGTGCGGGTGCGGCAGGTGGAAGGGAAGCACCGCATCCGTAAGCGGGGGCTTGAGTGTGACGGCACCAGCGGGGGTTTGTGCTGCCGGCAGCAGTTCTACATAGACTTCCGTCTGATTGGCTGGAATGACTGGATCATCGCACCGGCAGGTTACTACGGCAACTACTGCGAAGGCAGCTGTCCGGCCTACATGGCAGGCGTTCCAGGCTCAGCGTCGTCCTTCCACACCGCGGTGGTAAACCAGTACCGCATGAGGGGGATGAACCCGGGCTCGGTGAACTCCTGCTGCATCCCGACCAAGCTCAGCACCATGTCCATGCTCTACTTCGACGACGAGTACAACATCGTCAAGAGAGACGTGCCCAACATGATTGTGGAGGAGTGTGGCTGCGCCTGAGTCCAGCTGTCTTCTCCAGACCTTTCTGTTCGGTACACATATTCAATATATCTAATCAACTATGTGCACCTGACACCGGTCCGGTCCGGTCCAGAAACACACAGTGTGTGTTTTTATCCACGTCCAGCTGCTTGGCGACGGGATGAGAAGGGAATGATTATCACCAAATGATGCTTTCCTCTAGTTTGCCATTTCTAGTCAAAAATAATGGCTCACCAGCTCCTCGAGAATGAAGATTTGTTTTAAAGCGCTTACGGACAGAGACAGCACCAGCACCAGCCAATAACATGATTGGCACCAGACCCACCCGCCCCACCTTCTGAAGTACTTAAAGCACAAACTAGACTTTTGTTTTTATAAAGCACTGACGAGAGACCAGCTTTTCCGATTCAGAACACCAGCACTTCCCTGCTAAGCAGACGCAGTCTGACTGTCCTTCCTGGCGGGACTGGAGCGGCAGGATCAAAGCCTCCACAGCGGTCCAAGCTGCTGCTGCTGCAGTGTCAAGCCCATCTGGACGTCTGCAGGAGAGACTGGTTTGGGCCCAGCGGGTCAACACGGTGCAGTGCAGCACTTGCAGAAACTGAAATGCACACCCTGAATAGCACTTGTATAAAGAAATGCCTTCCAAGGGCGTCTGAGTGTCCTGTCAGATGAATAAGTGCCACATGAGCTATGCAATGTATAGAGACTGTCTCCACTCCACGTTAGACTGAATCCTTCTACTGTCCTTCATCGTGTCTTCTGTCTTCAGCTGTTTGAAAAATACTTGAAATGAGATCTTTCGCTTCCTTTTCCAAAGCGAATGATTGTTGTGATGTTTGCACTGAAGAGTCGTGGGATGAGCAAAACAAAAACTGCCATTGAAAAGTTATTTTTATAGAGGTAAAACTGAGTTTGTTTCACATGTATTTTACATAACGGAACCAAAGAGGCCAGGATGTGGGACTGAGATGGCGAGGCCATTAAAGTTTCTGTTTCTGATGGCTATGAGAGGCCTACCACCGTATCAGGGTACGAAAAACCGTCTGACTGTCATTCCTCACCTCTCTTTTCATTCTCTGTTTGAACAGTAAGCAACTCTTCATTTTTCCCATTAATTCTATTTTTGTTTCGGTTTTCTATTTAAGGAAAAATATTTTTAGTTCAATATGAATCATTTAGTCAAATAAATGTCACCTGTACAGTTTATGTAAAATAAATGTTTTCTTAAATATTTTGCAACTTTAAACTGGTTTGTGAGTCGTGTTCTTGTGTGTTTTACTCCTGATCTGATGATGATGAAGATGATGGTTGTGGTGGTGATGATGATGATGGTGGTGGTGATGATGATGATGATGGTGGTGGTGATGACAGTGGTGGTGGTGATGATGGTGATGATGATGGTGATAGTGGTGATGATGATGGTGGTGGTGGTGATGATGATGGTGATGATGATGATGGTGATAGTGGTGATGATGACTGGTGGTGATGATGATGAAGATGGTGATAGTGGTGATGATGATGAAGATGATGGTGGTGGTGATGATGATGATGGTGGTGGTGATGACAGTGGTGGTGATGATGATGATGATGGTGATAGTGGTGATGATGATGGTGGTGGTGGTGATGATGATGGTGGTGATGATGACTGGTGGTGATGATGATGATGATGGTGATGATGAAGATGGTGATAGTGGTGATGATGATGAAGATGATGGTGGTGGTGATGATGATGATGAAGATGATGATGATGAAGATGGTGGTGGTGCTCTCAAAAGAATACAAAAACGTGTGTAGAATGATCATGGTTAGAGATAAATAATAATAATAATAATAATAATAATAATAATAATAATATAGATAAATATTCCTTCTTTTAGCTCATAACTAACCTGACCTGGATCTGAACACAAGCTGTAAACATCTGTTTGAGGCTCTTATTGTGAAGGATCAAGTTCCTCTGTTGTGATGCTGCAGGAGTAAAAGCCTCAGATTGGTTTATGTTGTTGTTTCCAGTAAAACTCTACCACAACAACCAGTTCCACCCCCTCTCCGGCTGGGGAAAATTACACAACAATGAAACTTATTTTAAAACTGATAAAGCTGAAAACGTTATTTATCATTATTATTATTATTATTATTATTATTATTATTATTATTATTTTGCTTAAATACATTTTTTAATTAAGTTTCTGAAATCCATAATGAAACCTTTATGTTTCGGTTTTTATTATTGAATTATCTCCATCTGGAAGCTGTTTTGGGTGAAAACCCTTTCAGACCAAAGGGCGTGGTTTACGTGGGTGACAGATAACCCTAAAACACCTCTCCTCTTGCCTTTCAGGATTAGGCGATGGTTTAAACCGGAGCCGTGGAGCAGTAATTACGCCCGCCATTCTCAGACCTGCTGCTTTTCTGCTTATGCCCAGCGTCTGTTCCAATGTGTTTGCCTGTGCATGCAGATAATGTTGTAGTTTGCATATCTCTGCACATGCGTACACTCAGATGCTCCGTGTACTCCGTGTGTGCAGCCAGGGCAACAAATTCCTGTTTCCCAGCTCGGAGTTGCCACAACGTTCAGGGTTTGTGTCAACACTCAGCAACAGCATGGGGCTTGCCCGCCTGATTGTCTGTAAATGTTTTTATTTGGATCTGCCACAGAGGGCTGTGGGATTTGTTTGGCTGCAGGGCGAATAGCATGTGAGGGAGGGATCGGTGAGAAAAAACCTTTACCTGTAGGAGGACGGCTTCAGCAGCAGCGTCTATGAGACCAACACCAGAGAAACACGTCAGTGTGACTGGTGTGTTACTGGTGTGTGACTGACACAAGCAGACAAGAGGAGAACGGATCAGAAGCTGTCAAGGTTGTTTTTAATCTTTACGGATAAATGACGTTCCGAGCTGAGAGCAGGAGCGGAGATGAGTAGCTGTCTTGTCATGCTTCCCAACGCATGCCAAGATCTCCACAGCTGGAATGTTAATGGCGTTTAGTTTGAGCTGCAGGCCATTCAGCACACAGCGGGCCACACACACACACACACACACACACACACACACACACACACACACACACACACACACACACACACACACACACCCTAGTTATCAGCTTAAACAAATATTGTCCCTCGCCCCCCCACACATCTAATACCACCACAGGTTGAGGTCATGACAGCTGCCAAGTTGACAGGGTCAGCTGGTTTATCGCAGCAATAGCGCTGCTGCTCCGGCATTAGCCGGCGTTCACTAATGAATTTATGACTATTTAGCGCCCGAGGCCAGGCATTCCTGTGCTCTGCACGGCTCAGAGTCGACGCTGCGGCCTACAGGAAGGCATCCATGCGCCTCCATCAGCTGGTCCTGCAGGTTCAGGAGTGCTCTCCACCAATAAAGATGTGTTTTCACTCCTAAGGCCGAGTCCTGGTAAATAGCTGAGAGGTGTTGGTCCTGCTGCTTGTGATTAGGCTGGAGTAACACGAGCTTGATGGCTGAAGGCGGTGCCTTGGGTCATGAACACCATTAAAACACCACCAGCTGCTGCTTCTGAATGCTGCTGGTGTGAGGGTGGTGTTTAACACACACCACCCAGACCTCTGATCTGAGGAGATAAAACGTTCCTCTGCAAAAACTCCTCTCACCCACCTGATGCTGAGTCAGGGAGCAGGGACAGGTCCATCACAGGGACAAACAGAACCGTCCAGAAACAAGAATCCAGCTTACTAACCTGAAAGTTGTGGTCGTTGCTTCAGAAATAATCTTTTCTCCAAACTGAGGTTGTTCAGAGACCAGCTGATTTTTATGAGCTGTCCGCAGAAACAGTCCTTTAAAGTCTTTGTTTCTGCTCCAGCAGAGCCCTGGGAGGCTGTGTGATTTTAAGGATTTATCCCTCGGGCCGGGCCCCTTAAGTTCGGGAGCTTATTCCAACCCTGTTTATTTCTCTCTACTTCCCTAAGTGACATTTTGACCTTTGCTGCAGCGTGGACGGCGTTCCCTTCACGCTCTTTCTCACAGGAGGATTACTGCAGGGGAGGAACGGCTTTACGACTGGGAAGCATGTGTGGATCCTGAAGGACTCACTTTATTTGGACCTTTAGGTTTGGAGTAAAACTCTGAAATGGGAATGTCTCATTTGGGAAAAGTCTTATGGTTTTCCACGTGGGAGCGGCTGGAGCTGACTGACACAGACCTAAACCAGCAGATCTGAAGCCCTGTCCTTCTCCATCCCAGACGCTGCTCTGATGGAGAGGACGAGCCCCCCCCCCCCCCCCCCCCCCCCGTTTGGTAAAACAACCACGGCCTTGTCACCAGCCTCCCCGTCGAGCCGTAAGCTTTCTCACCTTCTCACCCCACCTTCCACCGTGCCGACCTCCCGACCCCCACACCCAGCAGCCACAAAGCCCTCGTTTGTGTCGTGCGGTCCTGCGTTTGCACCAACGTACTCTGGGAATCTGGGAGACTGGAGGAATTGTGATGGTCGGAGGTAAAGATGGCTTCTCACCCACAGCCTCTTTCAGCTCTGATGTTAGGGAGACAATTCGTCCCTTCTGAGGTCTGCGTCTGCTTTAAAGTTCCTTCTGCTTCCTGAACAGCCTCAGTTCAGAAAAATGGTGTTTGCAGCAGCACACACACATGACTACTCACTAAAGTTTGTTGTATATGTTTTAGGAATATTTCAAATATTTAGACTTTGTTTTCTGAGGTTTTAAGCTTTATGTTCCCGTTTTTACAGCGAGGGTCAGGGTTAAGCTTAACCCTGACCCTGGAGGCATCCAGCACGTTTTAGTGGTTTCTCTGCTCCAACACATTTTACTCAGTGATTGAATCACCTGTGCAGCAGCTCATCAGGCTCTGCAGAAGCCTGACAGAAATCAGGTGGGCTGAAATCGGGTTAAAACTAAAACATGCTGGACACCGGCCCTCTAGGACCAGGATGGAGAACCACCGCTCTAGAGGACATTCACAACTCAGAACTGGAACCAGAGCAAGAAACACATGGATGGACCCATCCAGCAGAGCAACAGTTAACCCGGTCTCCCTCAGGCTGAGGGTCGAGTTAGCTGGGGTTGTCTCATGACCTCTGACCCTTGAGGTGTTCTCTGCTTTGTTCATTACAGTGAGTCTGAAGGACAGGACTGTGTCCACGTCCACCAGAGGGACAGTGTCCTGTTGTCTCCTGATCCTTGGGGTTTTAATCTCTCGTGAGTTTCTTCCTCCCTTCAGACCTCTTGCTGCGGTTCGAACCTAACCCCCCCCCGCTCCCAGGACGTGTTGACCAGCTAAATTTAGCCCGCTGATGTTATTTTGACTCTTTTTCCTCTAACGGCCTTTAAAAGGGAAAGAATCCTGGTGATTAATGTCCCAGACTCTCGGGAGAATCAGTATGTAAACAGTCTGGCTTCTGTTCCTGAGGAAAGATTCTGTCCACGTTCACATGACGTACAGATCCGTGGTTAGCTGATAGGCTGATACTGATGCTGAACGGAACCTCACTGATGCTGATACTCTCCATGCAGCGCCCAGGAAACGCTACCGAGTCTCAGTGTGTGTGTGGGGGTGGGGGGGTGGAATTCCAGCTGAGGTAGTGGTGTTGTGTGTGTGTGTGTGTGAATGTGTGCGCATTTGAGTGTGTTTGTGTGTGTGTGTGTGTGTGTGCATGCGTGCGTTTTTGTGTGTGCATGTGTGTGTATATGAGTGTGTTTTTGTGTGTGTGTGTGTGTGTGTGTGTGGATATGTGTGTATGTGTGTGTGTGTGAGTGTGTGCGCATTTGAGAGTTTATGTGTGTGTGTGTGTGTGTGTGTGTGTGTGTGTGTGTGCGTTTGTATGTGCATGTGTGTGTGTGTGTGTGTTAATTTGTGTGTGTTTGTGTGTATGTGTTTGTGTGCGTGTGTGTGTGTGCATGAGTATGTTTTTTGTGTGTGCATGTGTGTGTGTGTGTGTGAGTATGTTTTTGTGTGTGCGTGTGTGTGTGAGTATGTGTGTGTGTATGAGTGCGTTTGTGTGTGTGTGTGTGTGTGTGTGTGTGTGTGTGTGCGTGCGTGTTTGTGTGTGTGCATTTGTGTGTGAGTGTGTGTGTGTGTGTGTGTGTGAGAGAGGTGGTAAAGGTGTGGCCTGAATCATCTCTGACCACTTCAGACGCCAGCGTTCCTGTATGAGTCCAGCTGCGTTTCCATCTGAGGGCTCATTATTCTGGCAGGTGCCCCATTGTCCCGTCATTCTGTTTTTTCTCTCGAGCCTTT